GGGCTGTCGCCTCCTGTGACATACTCATTGTCTTCGCGCCACGAGGTCTCCTGCAGGCATAAGATGTCCACAGGGTGCCCAAGACGCTCCTCCTGCTTCATCCATTCCATTACTTCCATGTAGGTGGTGGAGGCAAGGCCTCCACAGTTCCAAGTCACCACTCGGAGACGTCGTCCTGGCCTGTTGTTCAAGCACATCGTCTGCGAAGTGGGTTGATGAATCTCTGGAGAGACTAAGTCCCGGCCTTGCGTAAGATCTCGTAGAGACATGCGACGCCCCCTGTACAAGGTTGAACCATCAGGGCTTGCAGTAGCTCGGGATATAGCTCTGGAAAGTGCTCTTTTTCTGGGAGAGTACTTGGGAAGAACATCACCAGGGCGAGCGGCCTGGCGAAGGACACCATGCTTCGCCACATGATAAACCAAAGTGCCCGAAGATGGGGCTCTCGGATCTCCGTGATGTGTGGGAGATCCAACCCTCACGTCCGTCACAGCTGTTGTCTGCTGAATCATTGTGCACATGAACAAGAAGAGAAGCCAAACCGTTACTGGCGGCCTAGAACGGCTGTGACCCCGGGAATTGGGACCCGGGCAGCTGCACGCGTGTGGAGCAGATGCGGAGCGGGATAGTGTAGTCCTTGCAGAGCATACAATGGCGAAGCATACCATCCGGAGGAGCATGCGCCTACCTGTGTCGGTGACGGTCGCAGCCACACTCAGAGAGGGCCTGCACCGTGGCAGCACCTTCAGACGGGTAGCTGGCGGCTGGTTGTTGTGACGACTTTGCACATCGGCCTGCTTCACCAGCATGAGGATCAGGGAGCGGATGGGCCTGAGCAAGATCACGAAGCGCAACACATGGAGAAGGTCATAGTCTATGATGGACGCCGTCACCCGCCTGGTAGGGAGAGGAGATGGCATTCGAGACCTGGCCGACCAAGCAATACTGTAGGCGTCATATCGAAGGCAGACAGAGGGAAAACAGCAATCGGCCGACTCTCCCTGTAGCACAGTATTTTTCTTGGCAAGTGCCGGTCGGTGCTCACCTCGTTGGCTGAATGGAGACTCTGTACCGGCCAGGGTGCCCTTGAGCTCCCGCCATAGTGCGCCGGGAAAAGCACAAAGTGCATCCACAACGGTCAAACTAAGACCTTGCTGACATGTAACAGCCCTCAGTGTCACAAGTTCACTGTTCTCGGTCTCGCCTGAGCAGCACAACGCACTCTGCAGATGCCCCATACAACACCAACACCAACAGCCCATCCAGAGCATGTTCCAGAACAACTGACTGGGCATGTGACCCCGGTAAGGGCCGTGCTTTCTGGAGCCTCTGTTGGCCTTCGGCTTGGGCTTGGGGCAGGTGGAGCCCGAGGATCTCATCCGTCTCGCCGGCGGGGCTTTGGCACGAACCGGAGCTGCTGGCGTTGGAACCGGTGGCGCAGTGTTAGCGCTAAGGGCCGTGGACCGTATCGCCCATTCAGGGTCCATCACGTACTCGCCTGGCGGCGTTGACAGCTCCTCCATCAGCTGATCCCACTCCGGGTCCTCTTCGGGACCCTCCTCTGCCGACGGCTCTTCCTCAGCTTCCACCATCTCAGTGGCTTCGGTAGGTCCTGTCGCCGTGTTAGCCTCTGCCAGCCTGGCGCTGGCAGCCCTCGTAGCTCTCGAGGTCCTGGCCGGCCTCGTCGACCTCGTGGATCGCGTGGACCTCGTAGACCGCGTAGCCCGTGCTCCTCGACCCCTTGTTGCAGCAGCAGCTTCAGCGGGGACGGCCTGCGGGGAGTCGAAGATCCGCTCGTCATCGGTGTCGGCCGCGTTGTCTGCCAGGGCGAGGTCCCCGCAGAGGACTACCCCTGGCTCCGTGTACGTCTCAGGCCTCATAGGTGCAATCGTGATCTCAATGCCTTTGAGGCTGCGCCACTCCCAGGGAAGCCTGGTAATGGCATGACAGTCAAGTCCCAGGATGTCCGAGACTCCAGTTGCTACGCGAGCCGCCATGAGCCCACAGTCCCATACCGGATTCGGCGGCGGCGGGCCTCGAGGGGGGTCTCCCGGGTTCATCGGCAGCGGCGACTCGTCGTCCGTGCCGTAGAGGTCGGAGAGGGCGTCCTCATCGGAAGCCAGGCAAGCCTCATGGTCCTCCATGGAGGTCGATCGAGCCCTGGCAGTAATCAGCCTGCAGAGGGCCACCCCTGGGTTCACTTGTCTTTGAGCCTGTGAGCGGAGCCAAGCACATCCATGCGACAGATAGCTGCCAACGTAGCATGCCCGAACAAGTTTCACGAACTGTGTTCTTGCAGGCTCTGACCGCTGAACATGTCGGGGGTACCAGTATTGGAAGATCCCCGCGGGAGGTGCCAGCCAAAGAGGTAGCAACCATGCCAAGTACACACCACTGCCACAAACAGCTGCACTGGCAATCAGAAGAGCAAACACAAAGGTAAGCGGGAGGCCGAAGGGATGCGCCTCTGACGGGCGAAGACCTCGCGCATGCCTATGCATCTTCCAGGCACCCCGCAGAGATCTTTGGATGCCTGCTCCTTTAGTCCATAGCTTCCAGTGCCGGACACATCCGCAAGCAAACAGCCCGGAAAGCAGAAAGCCCAAACTCCACGTCGACCGCCATAACTCGCTCCAGCAGTTCCAACCTCCAAGAATCTGACAGCATGAACCACCCATCCCACCAAACTCCAAAGGCTCCCGCGGTCCTCCATCTGTTGGCCACGGCCTTTTGTCGCCTGTGAACCTCCCTGACACCGAGGGGCCACCATTGTTTGGTGAGGCAGCCAAGGGCGTGGTTGCCCACTGCAGTGAGTAAACCGTCAGCATGGTACACACGAGAGTTGTACTTGGGCGCTTTGTTACTGCCATGTATGGCTTCCACAACCGAATCCATGGCAAGCACATGAGGAGCAGGGCAGAATAAAGCCAAGCCAGCCACCCCTTCAGACGCCAAAGTCTCCGAAAACGCTTCGCCAAAAGCCCGGCAACCCCGAAGAGCCGCCCTACGGACAAAAACCGCTCACTCCACAGCATGGAGCCGAGACGCTTTTACATACATACATACATACATACATACATACATACATACATACATATGTATGTATGTGTATGTATGTGTATATATATATATACCTTTGCATATGATGTACAGCAGAAGACTCGACCGATGCATTGCTGCAGCCATCGCTGTCCGCCTTCCACCGGATACGCTCACCATCCACGACCTCGCTACATGCTCACAAGACCAGCACGGCTGGTCCGCAGTCGCTCCAACAAGGAGCACGAAGACGTAAGCACTGTCGGCATCTCTACTCTCGGTCTAGCAGCATGCTTTGCATGATTTGTGAGTGCTTCCCCCCTGAGATCCTCACCCAACGCGAGGAGTGGTCATCGCCGCAGGTCCACAGGATGACGTCCGCGCCATCCTCACAAAACTCGGAACCGCCCCGGCTTCTGCAATCAAGACAAGAAGCGCTCCTGGCACTTCCCCTCTCGCACAGCCAGGCAGTAGTGCTCGTCGCTGCCCAACCTTGCGCAACGTCTCGCTTGTTGACCCACAAGCCGGGCCTACACCTACGCGCTGCAGCGCCTGAGATTGAGACAAAGGGACACTAAGGTCCGGAGTTGGTCCCTCTCTCTCCTCCTCTCCCTCTCCCTCCCCCTCTCCCTCTGACGTTTCCAAGCCCTAGAAAGGCTGGGACTGACAAAAAAACACTGCTGTGAACTTAGGCTTGCTGTCAACGCATGCTGGGCCAATGGCACGAGGTGATCTTGCGACACTGTCCAGCGAGATTCGTCCTAGGCTGCAGATCTGACAGCACCATGACATCCTCTCTCCCGAGCTTTGCCGACCCATCGCGATTTTGTGGTGGCCGCCAGCAGGGAAAACCTGCAACTTCGAGTCCCCAGCCGTGTTGCTGCACTGCCACAAGATGGCATCGCTGCCTGGCAAGCAATCGCTGGCCGTGAGGAATCCTCAATATCACTCGATTCCACCTGAATCAGGAACTCTCAACGATTCAATCATCCCCAAGAAAGGTCCATGACACATACATATATATTTATATACATATATACACATACACAGACACACTGTGTCGTGCAGAGGAGCTCGTCATCGTGGAGCATGTAAGGAGGAGATCCTAAGCCTGCGATGCCTGGTGACGATGAGCACTGGAGTGATGCAGTCTTTTCGTCTCTCTGCGTAGCTGTCGAGAACTACGGTGACTCCCCTTGCTCTTGGCCAATGTGTGATTCTGAGCGCGCAAGGAGTGAGTGATTCGCTACAGGTCGAAGCAAGCTCTTTGACCTTGATTGGAGGCAGGTCTGTGATCGGGCCAACAAGCCTCACATGACCCCTGCCAGAGCAGTGTTCCAACTGGGTAGTCTCTGGGAAGTTGCATTGAGCCCCCCCAGTGATGCATTGAATGTTGCCACCGTGAGTGAAACTTACTGCCTTGTGCCGTCGGTGCATCAGGAGGCTTGGGACTCCGCTCTACGTGGCAATGCTGTTAAGCTGCGAGCTGCCGAGCCCTTTTGGCAGCGTCGAATGTCCGTCCCTTTTCGGCACATGAGGGAAGAGTCTGCGTTCTAATTAGGCTGCGAACAGACCTCCGAAAGCCTGCAAAGCAAAGCAAAACACAGACACACACGCACGAACAAAAACATAAACCCAAACAAATGGTGTGAACAATAACCCACAATCAGCAATCTCGCACCGCATTGCTTCGATTGCTTCTCGAAGTTGGGAAGTTGAGGACGAGCGCTTCGCGTGCTAAGCGATCTCAAAACGTGGCAAGCATGCCATCGGCGATCTTGCCCTCGCGCACACTGACCTCGGAGCTTTTGCATGGTTGCTAACCCAGCAAGCTGAGAAGGCAATGCAGCGACTGCCAAAATCCACAGCCTTGATGGCATTGTCTCAGCCCGTCGCACATCTGCTAGGATCGGCCTTCGGTTTCAGCCTGGCCAGACTTTGGGGAAAGACCACGGAAACCAGGAAGGTGCTGTAGATGATGCAGTAGCGACAATCATGGTCATAGCCGGAACCAAGACAGCCAACGGAAACAACACCCGCAGCATAAGAAACCAGACACAGTAACGGCAACCACGGGAGGGGCTCGAAACTCTACGAGTCCAGCAGAAACCGGGAAACGGAACCGGAGTCTTTGCACCCGAAAACCCCGCCTGGTTCCTGCTACCAAGGGACTAGGGACCTAGTTTCGGTTGCGTGCTTCCTAGATTTCTGAAGGTCCTAGGCTTGCTTCCGTTACGACTTCGCTGTTGTGTACGCTCAGCACAACACAGGCAGGCAACACAGGAATCCGTCGAAAGTAAAGAGGAAGGGGTTGATGTACCCAGACCTGAGCTGCTGTTGCCACACATTTGCCACAAACGGCAGTCCCGCGGCTTTGCATTCAAAATCTTCAGTCCTCTGCCAGAGAATGACGTCTGCACCATCCTGGACGCGGCCCTGTCGGACCTAGGCTAGTCGTAGGCTCAGTTTGGTCCGCGGGTGATCCTGTAAAAGTCCGCGCTCTAACACATTGGCACAAAGTTACATTAACATGTGACGTCGACCTTCGTATCGAAAAACGTCTGCGAGGGCTGTATACAAACCCTGGCATTATGCATGGAGCGCAGTAGGCCTCAGGCTGACAGAAAGTATCTCTGATCTGCCTCGAACCTCAGTTCCCCGGACGAGATCATCTACCAAGCGGCAATCTCACAAGTGCCGCTTCACATGGTACTCTGGTTGCTATCCCGCTACGGCTAAACTGCCTCGCTCAGATGTTCGCACGATGGAGCCACCGTCAACTTTCCATCGGTGGGCCTTGGCCATGCTTGCAACAAGCCACTTGTGATGCGCTCACGGGGCTCTACACTTGGACGTTGCATCTACTGCATTGCATATCATTGCATCGAACGTCCCCCAGGACGCAGCGTTGGAGCGAGCACAGCTCCAGAGGATGATGTCGGAGCCTCAATGTACAACCGCATGGTCGAGCGGTGCTTGGCAGATCTGGGCAGGTTTGGGCCGCTTGCACGCACTTCTTGAGCTCTATAAGGACTCAATCCACGCGTGCATTCTCTGGGGCTCCTGCCATCTCCAGCTCTGCCTTCGCGGACGCTCATGCCTCAGAGGAAGTTTGCAGAATGCAGCCAAAACGCAGGAGGGAGTTTTGGGAACGAAGATCGCTTGAGCTCCAAGCAGTAGCTGGGGTTCGCCTGGAGCCTTGGTAGCTTGGCAAGGCTTTTCTGGGCGCGAGGAAAACCCACCAAACCTGTCAGAGTTTTGTCCAAGGAGCTTGATCAGGCCGTCCTGGACGAGCCACTTGAACTCTCGGCCCTCGCCGCAGTGCCTACATTCGCTTCAGGGCCGTACAGTACTCATGGCACGTCTCGCCATTTACCACTGATCCAAGCTGCAGCTGAGGCACCACATGATGATGTCAGAGCCATCAGTTATCTGACACAGGTTTCAGGAAACAGCTGCACGGAAGCTCCTATTCTTGGACTTCAGTCGCCTCGTCTCCGAATGACTAGCAAACTCAGAGAGTCAGAGTTCCACTCCCAGAATCGCTTGCATGAAACAACGGGGATGGATCCGGCCTCGCCCTGCCGCACGCTCGCACAGTACTTCGTATCCAGCCTGCAGGGGCAACACTTTAGGACAGCCGCAGCTGCGCTGAGCAGCGCTGAGCTGAGGACGAGGACTTGATGTAAGGACCGTCAATTTTCCAGACATTCCTGAAATGTGTCTGAGGCACCGAGATGGGCTTTCCAGGAACGCTGCTGGAAGCTGTCCAAGGAAAACGCAGCTGTAATCACGTGCTCAATGCTGCTAGGCTGAGCACTGGAAACCTGCACATCTGGCTTGTAAGGCCCGCTCTCGTCAGCCATGGTCTGCTGTCTGGCAAGATTGTCGCTCGAGACACTAGCAGCAGTCGAACAGCCTCCTCCCTCCATGATAAATCGACACGAACGTGAGAGCGTCCCACAGAAGGATTAACTAAAAGAGGCTCGCTCAAAAACATCGCCAACCCCCCCTTCTTACAAACGCCAAATCAAATTCATGTGCGTTGAAACTGCGTGGGAGTTTGTATCTCTGATACCGTCGGAGAAATGATGCCTGACAGTAATCTGGGCTATGGTATGATTTGCCGGCAGAACGCGGATCTCGTCAGGACACAGCGTATTTGCAGAATCCTAAGTATGTACATAATTTACGAAAACATTACGAAACTGTGTACAGTAGGGTAGGCATTCCGCAGCGACGTGGGAGCATGCACAATGCACCTCTGGTCGGCAGAGACCGGCAGTCCAAGCGGCTCAAGGGCCTGACGGGATGCTGCGAGCAATCCGGTCGCTTCGAGTGACTCTTGAAGGATTCTAAATGGGAGTTTCAAACAATAAGGTACCATATTCTGGGGTCCTTATAATAAGGGTCCTGCTATTTAGGGTACTATATTAGGGTCCCCTATTTTCTGAAACCCCCAAATGGACTCGGAGATTGGATTCCGGAGGTGTTGGAACAAGGTCGCGTGCTGCTCTGCCTGGCACGACCAAATCACCGCATCGGCCGCGGCCTTGTAGCCACTGGTCTCACCTTACAGCCGCAGTGCTGTAGGAACTAGGAACTTTCTTTTGCGGAAGGATGGAGGTTCAAATCACTCGGGCGTTGCCAGATAAGAGGCAGGCGCACCGAGAGGCAGTAGTCCTGAGACGGTAGTGTTTGGAAGGCTGCATTCTCAAAGGCGAGGGGAGCCATGTCACATGTCCTGATTCTCCTTGTGCTTGATGAAACTCCCTGACACCTGCAAGAAGCTCGAAGATAGCTGAGTCGCAGAGACACGCCCAATGCCCATGCGGCCTCCCACTGGTATTCAGCCGACTCCGCACAACTCCAAAGGATGACGTCTTCACCGTCCTCGTGCAGCAAAGGGCAACAACTTCAGTTCTGCGCAGAGCCGAAAGAGGTGCTGACCATAATATGCCCTTGCCGAACGGACAGGCAATACCTGGAAAAGCGAAGCGCTGACGTTGGCTTTGTGGGGAAATCCCAGTGCCAAGGCTCAGGCTTGGGGTTTGGCTCGTAGCGGATCAGGCTGCCGATTCTGGACCATCTCACTGCTGTGCCCTCAGTCTGGCAGGGCATGGACCCAAACGATCCCGGAAGTTCACTGGGCTCCGTACCCCGTTGCCACACTTGTCGGCAGACACTTTGCTGCCCTCGCCCGCAGGAAGGCCTGTTGCATGCCCTTCGTGACCCACTCTGCACCCAGCCTCAATCCTTGCCCAACCCTCTCCCCCCTCCCCCGAGTGCTCAATTTATTGACCATCCTGGCTCCTTACGCGTCAGACCAAGGTCGGCTTGCCCCGTGTTCAATAGCGAAACACATCTCACGGATGCGAGCAAGTCCTCCTGTCACTGGCTACAGTGAGTACAATCAACCCAGTAAGCCCGGGGCGAACCGATAAACATTTGTTGCGGTCCGTCTCCATTCTGATGAGTTTGCCTGTAGCACAGTTGCACCCCTGGCAGAAACTTTGCCAACAACTCGTGTTGTCTCCCCGACCATAGTCGCTACTTGGACCTGAACGTCCTTCTATCATACCGTCAGGGTATGTCAGGGTAAACACGTCACAGTTCCAAGACGGCCATCCAAGTTCTGGACCATCGAACGACCATTTGTCGTTCATGCCACCCTCACGAAATCCAAAGTTCATTCAGGTGTGTTCCAAGATCGGCGACCCGAAATGCATGCAGAATTCAGGAGAAGACCACCGTCCAAAGGATGATGTCTGCACCATCCATTGGGTTGTCGTTGCGCCTTGAAAAATAGCCAAGTTCTTTCTTCTGCTTTCAGGCTCGGCGGTTTGGACTCGTACTGGCTCGTAACTCTGGGCTCTGCATCCCAAACTGGGCCGACGGCACTACCATGGCATACCTCGGATTCGCCTTGTACTTGATGAACTCGCCGTCCATTTCCTGGCGGTGTCGCTCGCATGGCTCGCACTGCAGTGTTTGGGTCTCCAAGCGAGTAGGGAAGGCCCAGTGGAACTCCGGGGTCTCAGAACACTTCCACAGGATGATGTCAGAGCCGTCGCCGATCTGCAAAGAGACGCACAAACGCAAGAGCAAACGCTCGAGCAGCGCGCATCTTGGCGACGCTTGGTTACGTGGCGGCGTGCATTGGGCCTTGCCCTCACGCACGGCCAGGCAATAGGAGGGGTCGGCCTCCGCAGCGAGGCTCCGCCACTCTTGGATTCTAGGCCTACTCAGCTCCGTGGGTCTCCGTGAAGGGCTTGAACTGGGGGAGGACATGCTTTGGTGCCTCGTACTGGATGTAATTGCCGTTAACCTCGCATCACCGGCTTCAGATGCCCCGCTTACTTCTGCAGGATCCCTGACACTAGCCTTTGTCAACTGGCATTTTAAAATCGCTGCCACACTGGTACAGGTGCTGAACATCAGACGGCTCGCGAGCTTGTCGGACTGAGATCGCGACTTTAAACTTGTGCTCTGCATCTGGAGACTCAGCAGCAGGGTCCCCGAAAAATGCAGGGGTTCAAGCGCTTCCGGCGATTACTGACTTGCTGTGATTTGTCGTTTGAATCTTGAGTTCCCCACACAATGCCACAAGATGACATCCACGCCTCACCGTGCCCCCAAGGTTTGAAGGGCACCGAGGCCCTCTGTCTCTGCTCTACCCGTCTGCCCCTCGTGAAGTGGTCGAAACATCAACCCCAGCTGAGTCAGCGGCCGTTGGCAACCTTGCCTTCTCGCCTCATGCATCCGGTCACCGGTCCATGCAGAATTGGAGCTCAGGATCATTCCATGTGCTTGTCGCCACGGCTTTGCTCGGTGATGCCCAAGGCTCGCACTGGAATTCACATTGACCGGCAGTAGAGCTTCCCTGAACTGAGGAGCCTGAGGCCTTGAGTCCTGGAGGTATTCTGAACCGTTGCTGGCAGCTTCTTCTCCCTCTTGAGATTCTACGATTCACGATCGACCAAGATGCAACACAATCTGCAGTGAGTCAAGTCCCGAAAGCAGACCGCGTTGGCCGGGTGCCCCGGCAGACTCACGCAGTAGGACGGATTCTGCTTGTACTTCAGGAAGCTGTTCTTCAGTATCCATCGCCTTTGGCAGGGTTGAGTCTTCTGCAGGGCCGATCTGGCCTCACATGAGTTTAGCTCGCAGTCATGGATGAGCTCCACCCGGACTTCGTGAGACGGCATAAGGCTTCTGAGGATGCTGCTGTTCTCCGAAGGCCTGCGTCCCAGGCAGGAGGAGGCAAAAGAGACCTCGTGGTTTTGAGTCGCTTGAACCGACTCTCGCCAAGCCCACAAGACTCTGCCAAGCTGCAAAGCATCATCTGCGGCCTGTGCATTGCTGCCTCAAGCTCGGATCAAAGGCACAGGCACGTGGCAGTACTTCCTTCAAGCCGTGCCTACGGATCCGGCAAATGCCAATGCGGTCGAATCGAGTAAAGCACTGGTGCGTCCAGTCAACGATGACAAACACTTAGTGCCACAGAAGCTGGAAGGCAACATGCACGGTTCGTGCATGCCAAACACATCAAATGTTCATCGACTGCATCGATCGGAACAGGTCCTACAAGTAGCTGGAGCAGCGCACAAAGCTAGGAGCCTTGCAGCTCTTTTTGGCGGCTGCTTCATGGTCCGTTATGAGGACGGCTTGAGCTTAACGGCCGAAGGACAATCGCACGTGTTGGCCAATGCATCGCACGGGACGCCGAAAACCCTGCAGCCAGACCCAGCACCTGGCTGAAGATCGGGAAGCGCTAATCGCCAAGCACCTGCACAGCAGCACTTGAGCACATCTGAAACTCACAAGATCTCATGAGGTTGTACATGGGCGAGCCACAGGCAGTGGGAAAAACGAAACGTCCAGCTTTTTCAGAAGACGCAGGACTTCATCTTCTTCGCCGCTGCGAAAACCGCAGACCGCGCCACGAGTGGCACGGGACGCTTGCCTGGGCCCACGCCAAGAGGCACCGGGTTCGCACGCGGGTTCGCTGTCTCATTGCCTCGGATCGTTCGCACAAAGCACGGAAAAGCAAACCTAAGTGGAGTCGGAGTCTTCTTTCTGCCTTTTTTCTCACAGCGGCGGTGCTCTTTCCAGGTGGGCATGTTGTGGGGCTCCTGCGGTGCCGGCGCCTCTTGGAACCAGCGGTGTTGCAAAGCAACAGCTGCCGTCACACGCTTCGCCGGGTCGAAGGTGAGGGCGCGGTTCAGCAAGTCCAGACCTGAAACGCGAGTGACACGCGGGCCCAAAGGGGAATGGCAACAGTCGCATGACAGATCTTTCGGCAGCAACGGCCCTCCTTGCGGGCATTTACCGACGCTCTACAGTACCTGTACTTCAGTTGCCTTGCATATCTTTGCTTTGCATGTGATCATATTGGCGATAGTGTTGACGGTAGTTGGAATCGGCTCGATCTGTTCAAAGCCAAGTTGCAGCTGTCCGGCATGTCAGGAAACTTGTCGCCCAAGTTGTTGTAAGTGTTCTCCGGGAGCTTGAAGGTCCCATAGTGCTGCAGCCGCTCAAGCCCAGGCCAGATCCGCGGCGAAGGAGTCCCGAGTAGAGCACAAGTCAGCTGCAGCTGGTGCTCCTCAAACTTTCCTGCCAGCACACCGCACATCCCCAGCCTTTTTGTTCTTGCTTGTTCTTGGGTTAGATACTCATGCCTGTACTCGAGAAACGATGGCCTGGCAGCAGCGGCCGCTTGAGAAGGAGCTCCCCAAAGTTGCAGCCCACAGACCACATGTCCACTGCCATGGTGTAGCTCTGGGCACCCAGAAGCAGCTCTGGCGCCCGGTACCAAAGCGTCACCACATTCAACGTCACCGGCTTCTGCACATCCGTGAACTCCCTGTAACCAGGCAAATGCAAATGAGGGGTTCACTGTGCTTTCTGCAAGAAACCCACACATGACTGGGTCGGCAATGCGCCTCGCTAAGCCGAAGTCCGCCAGTTTCAGGACGCCCCGGTTGTTCCTGAAAAGACTCACCGACAACCTCTCTCTGTGCCGGACCGACGGACGGAAGGACTCTTCTTCCGACTCAGGAGTCCGAATAGGTTACCCGTCAGTGTTGGCAAGCAACACTTCGAAGCTGATGGTCGACTACTGCTTGAGCAAAGTTGACCTGTTTTGGGAAAGGAAGTTCGGCCGGGGCTCAAGAGAAGGTTTGAAAGCTTGATGTCGCGGTGGATCACAAAAGCTGCGTGTAAGCATTCCACCGCCTTCAGCATGTGTGCAGTCTGTGCAAACTCATGTTCTTTGACATGACCATCATGGCTACCCTTGGACATGTCAGCTGCGTTCCCTCCTTGAGCAGTTGGAGCGTGAGGCATTTCACCTCCGCCTCGCTGAAAGGCCGCTCCATAAGATCCTCGGAACCAGGGCAAGGAACGACACAATTTTTTTCGTATCCACCACGTGTTCGCGAATATCTGTCCTCAATCCTGGAGCTTCCAAAACCCTGGTGCTACTGCACATGTGCGAAAAAAACTACAGTGTTACAAAAGCACACCCGTGCGACAGCGATTCGGGAAAAATAGAGAAAAACCAGATATGATGCAGCCAACAGTAAATGGAAAGCTAAAAGTTCGATGAAGATCTTTCTTGGACATGAACCCATCGCCCACCATGACACCTGTTTGTATGTTCTTATTTTTGCTGATCAACGATCGGTCAACCAGTTCGGATTGGAAGCTCAGATAACCAGCACGACTAAATATGGACGGGCAGGCATCCTCCGAACCTAACACACCGGCCGCATCTGGCAGAAGTTTCTCCCACACGTGGTTTCGATACTGCAAAGGCCTTCATCCGCGAGATTCCGCGAGCGAGCACGGGTCCAGCGTGAATCCGAGCAACTCGTTACTCAAAGTCTCATGTTGCAGTCCAGGGGTATTTCATCGTTCTGCAGAGCTTGCACAGCAGCTTGACAACAAGTGCCCCCTAAGTCATGGCGTGATGCTGCAGCAAACCTAGCTTCAGTGTCCAAATTACGGTGCGTGAAGCGTCCTCTCTCGAACTCTTTATGCAAGATACCGGGGAAGTTGAAATTTAGAAAATGACCGAATCCCAGCTAGCTAAGTTTTCGGCTATCATCTACAAACAGTATCAGGTAAGCTAAGCGCAAATCAACCTCAAAGCAACAAATTCCAAAAAAACTTCCTTGTAGACGGGAACCGATACTGCAATCTGACATTTGACCACTGGGTCAGCATGAACCGAACCTGTGGAAAATCTGGCCCCCGCGTTTCACGACACTTACCCCACTTGTGCCATCTGAACTCGCCATTTTACCCACTTGTGCCACTGTCACCTGTGCCACTTGCCCTGCAGTAGTACCAGCATCAGTAATAATTTTGATAGTAAGATTACTAGTACTACTTGTGATACCACCCCAAAAAAACCTAAACCCTTAACCCCTAAACCCTAAAACACTCAAGCCCTAAACCCGAAAATCCTAAACCCTCAAACCCTGACAGACATGGTGGCTTCTGTACAGCTTATTAAAGCTGTTTCAGGCATTCCGCCAGGTCTGTTCAGCCCAGAATCGAGCAGTGCGCCAACATCATGCTCGCAGTACTCGAAGACGAGAAAGACGCTTCCCGGCTGCCTGCAGGAGTCTTCTTCCAGTCTCTTAAGTCTCCTATGATCTTCAGAACAACTCTTGAAGCCCTAAACCCCCCTCCTTCCACATGCGACCTCACGCAGCTCCACGATGTTCGGGTGCCGCAGCCTTAGGCAAGCAGAGGTGAGGCAGAGGAAAGCAGGCTGCAAGTGGCAGCTGCGACGAGCTGTTTCCTCGTCTCTGTGCAGCCTGGGAGCCGTTTCAGCAGCCGGATCTCACGGAGGGAGCTCTTCGGGAAGCCCTCCTTTTCGGCATGGATGATGACCTTCTGCAGAACTTAGAGTCAACCGGAGTGTTCAAACGTCTGAAACCCGGATCTTCCTGGAAGCTCTAGGCCCAAGGCCTTCTTTAGGGCCACGATCTCGCCGTTCTCCGTATCTCTGGCACGATAGACCTCCGGTGGAGCAAACACGCCGGTGGGCTGCTGAAATGCCACACCAAAGCAGATCCAAGCGGCTGTGCCGTAGCTTCCCTGGCCCAGCCGGTTCAGCTTCTCGAAGACTTCGACGCCTGCACAAGGGCAAAAAACACGACGAAGCCTGGAGACCTCCAGGCTCAACAGCTCGGCGGCCCGCTGTCCACGCGGCCTCGACACCGGCCGAGGTAGCCCAAGGCGCCACCCGAGGCCATGGGCCGACGGAAATCGGGGGAACGGTCGGGGAAAGCTGCGAAAGGGCTGAGAAAGTCGAGGCTGGGGCGGGGCAGGTTGTGCTCTGCGTTCCAGGTCAAAGAACATCTTTGCTTGGGGCGATTTGGCTCAAGCTGCGCAGCGCGACGTGGCACGAAGTGGCGTGAAGGCGGGAAAAGCTCTCTGCACTCATCCGACTCGTCTCCTGGTGCTCGTTTGCCTGGCCTAGGACCAGCCTCTGGAAGGCGAGCTCCTGTGCCGAAAAGCTCAAGCGCAGGCGCCTCAAGGCACGCGGCACGCTTCAGCGATTCAGCCGCGAGCTCTTCTCCGGCTCCGGCAGCTCCGCAGCTCGAAACTCAGGCGGGCTCGAAGACTGCTGTGCCCGACGATGCCAAGCTGTCATCGCCTCGACTGACTTGCAGCGTCCAGGCTTGGAAAAATCCAAATCCGCTCCGAGCCGAAAGCCAGTGATGTTGTAGCCGAGCGCTTCCATTTATCCTCTATATCAAGACCCGCAAGAGTAGCTTCAGGGGAACGGACCATGTCAAGCCTTTATCATTGAGGTCGGCCAATCGGTTTTCAGCTCAGGAGGGCTGAGCTGGGCTGGATTTAGGTCACGGAGATAGAGCGTGGATTGTCTAGAATATGGCAGCAGAAAAGTAACGGATTTGTTCTTCTCTGGGGCACAAGAGCAAGAAGCCGACGGGCAAAGAGAATGCAGATCAAGAGGCTCTGACACCGCCTGCATAAATTGGTTTGAGATCCTTAGTTCGTTTTCATGGTGCTGTTAGGAACCTTAGGTTTCGTTTTCATGGTACAGTACCACAGCTGTCATGGCACCTTGCAGACACGAGCTCGAGTCGGTCAAGGACTGACTTAACTGGTTCCGACTTCGTCCGAGCCTCGGATGCATGGGCGCGGCGCATCTCCAACACTGCATATCTGGCAGCGCGAGACTGATTACCGCTTCTTCCCAGCAAAAGCCACTGTGTGCCCTGCACTGAACCACCCCGCCTTCCAAAGGTCTCAGACTGCCAGCCGCGAAAAGAGGAACCGAGTCCAACCTCAAAAATCTCAGCGGTTCAGGCGCGAAGTCTTCCTTTTCAATAAGAACACCTTGGGCCTAAAAGGGCCTATACAAGCCTCTCCGGAAGCTCTGCACGCTGAGGCCGAAGCGGTCCCGGAGCAGGCGAGGCGTCGCTTGCCTGTCACATGGCATACGCCATACGCGGCCTTTCCAAACCCCACGAGCGGGCGCTCCAATTCAGCTACTCGCGCCTAATCTGTCGGCCATCACTGCACATGCTTGTGCAGCTTGGCGACCCTCCCTGCACGTCGGGAGGCTGTACAGCTTGCAGACTTGCTGGATAGAACCCAGCCCACTCGCAGCCGGTGGGCGCACCGCAGGTGCGAGACCCCCGAAGCCCAGCACAGGAAGGTGCGGAGGGCAAGCACACCTGTGAGCAGGCGTTTCGATGCAATCTGCACACACTCTGCACAGACAATCCCTCCCTTCAAAACAGCTTGCACTAGGACTGAGCCCTTCCCAATGGAGCAGACCTTCTTTCCCCAGGGGCCGCAGCGGCCCTCTGTGCTGAGTTGCCTCAGAAGACACATCTCCAGCATCGTCGCTTTCCCCGATCTCTCACAGCCCACGGGGAACCGGCATCCCGTCGGATGATCTCCCGCCAAGCCAGGAGGGTACTTCGGGCCTGAGATGCACAAGTCCGTGGATTTTCACTGCAGGATTTCTCGGTGCAGCCGTGCCACAACACTGGCTTGCCTTTCCAGCTTTCTCGTCACCTCGTCGGCCTCACATCCGTGGCGCCACATGTCACATCTCGCAAGCAAACCAACGCACGAGCTACCGTGTGCCCTGCGGAGCGTCGCTGCAATCTGGCTTGCACGCTCCCCCTGCTCAGGCCATTTCGGACCCTCACAACTTCACATAACCACTGAATCCCAAAGAAGCACCTCCAAGAAGCTAAAACCAGCCGAAGCCTGGTCTCAAGGAGAGTGTCGAGACTACAGCTTCCAAGCACAGCAGTGTAAGGCTGCTGCTCTTGGCAGTCGGCATGTGCAAGCATGGACCTCACCAGCCTGCCACGAAACGGCCCCAAGGGCCCACGATTCTCTCGCGGCACCTGTAGCGCTATAGCGTGTGACCTTTCTCAAGCGCTCCAGCCATCTTGACATCGTCACGGCGCTCGGTGAAACAAGAACCGTCCACATTCAGTGGACAGCCTGAGGGAGCGGAGACGAGGGTGCGAGGCAACTCCCCCTGCCTAGTCTGACCGACGCTCCTAAGAAGACACCCGTAGCTTGGGCGAGCTCTCGTGTGGCACCTGATTCAGCGCCCGGGCAGCCCACCATGCCACTGACTAGGCACCCATGTATTTCCGCTGAATACTCCCAGCCTAAGTGCAGCGCATGCACTCCAACCTTTGGCTAAAAAGTCTGAACTCATCAAATTTCGGCTGCGGCTGTGACTTAAAGCCTAATGGGCTGTAACAATCCGTCGGGCTACGCACTGTACAAGGCGACGAGTCAAAGACTGGGTCTGAGAGTGGACCCCACGGAGCAAAGGCTCAGAACGGCCGCCGAGTCTTTCCGAAAGAGAACCTGCTCAAAGCCACACAGGCCTGTGCTGAGGAGCGGAGAGCTTTGACGCTTGCATAAGGTCGCAGCTCGGGTTGCTTGGTATACCTGGGGAGCTTACACCTTGGCTTTCAAGGCTGTGTCTTCGCTGAGGGATGCTGAGAGGCCGAGGATGGCTGAGGCACCGGCACATCCTCCGGGTTCACGCAGTGGAAGGTCTCCGAGCTGTGCAGCCCAAAGCCCTGCAAAGATACGACCCCGAGGTTTGCGGAGCTCTTCGGCGGAGCCCCGAGATGCCCCGATCCTCACAGGCCGAGGCGAGCTTGGAGATGAAGGGAAGCTTCTTGAAGGCCTCCTGCAGCAGGTACTGGTGCTTCCCGCCCCCCCCAGGCGCAGCGCGGCCCTGAGCCCCTGGGCGTCTCTCTCCTCCCGGCTCACCAGCTTGGGCGACTTGCCGAAGCAGCCGGTCCTTGGCGTCCTTGGCACACGCAAGTTCGACGTCTTTTTGGTGTCAGTCCTTGATCGCGGCACCCTGTCAAGCACCGCGCGGCTTGCGCCTGGACACCTCATCGGTCGTCGAAGCCTGAGATATCTGTACAGTCTCAACTTATCTTGCAAGAACACAGTCTGTACCACAGCTTCTCGGATCCTGCAATGCGCTTCCCGAGCAATACTGTAAAAATCGAAACACAGGTACATTGTGTGTGTCACTGCGGTTTTGAAGCATGAACCATCATTATCCACTTCCAAGAGAGCGCTTCAGAATGCTCACGCAAAATTACGGCTAGCGTCATCAATGGAGGTCTTGAGAGTTCCGAATCGCTCTTGGCCGTCAGAACGAAGAAAGAGTCGAGAACCGTCCATGACAGAGCGTGCCCCTAAACATGTTAGCTAAATCAAACATGCGAGAGAGATGGCCCAAGGCTACTGTACCAGCAGGCCTTCTCCTCGTACTGCCCAGGACCCGGCCTCGAGAGGTTGTTTTCCAGGCATCTCTCAGGTTGTGGACACTCAGGCGGCGGCAACTTTGCAGCGAAGTCCTTGATCTGATCAAAAGTACTCATTCCCCTCGGCTTCAGGTCGTGACGTTCAGGATAAGCAGTGCTGATCTGCTGAATCCGCCGATGTCTGAGGCACGGTCTTCCGGCCAAAAGTCGCTGCCTCCTCGGTGAAAGCAAACACTGCTTTGAGCCCCTTTGAGTTGAGAGGGTGGAGGGGTGCGAGCTGAGCGCCTGTGTCACGTGCCCGGGAACCTTTGGCGAGCCGTAGTAGCCTCCGTTCCGTGGCTTTCATTCGGGGCTCCCGGGAACTTCCCCCCAAGACCAGGGCCCGAGCCTGGGCCTGGAACAATGGAGCGTTGATAGATGCTGCCTGAAGCAGTTCTAAGACGATCCAAGGATCGAAGGATCGGAGGGGGGGGAGCCCCTCTTTCTCGCCAGTTCGGGAGCAGTCGGGAGCAGCTGCGCCTGGCACCGGGACGAACTCCTCCTGAAGCTGAATGCGCAAGATCTCCTTCTCAGCCTGCCGAGGCTCTTGTGCGTATAACTTCGCCCTCCTGAAAATACCGGAACACACACGGTCATGATTCCGAAACTCCGAAATGGATGAAGCGACCGAACGGAGGCGGCACCAAAGATCACGCTTCGGGTCTAGAGATGTCTGCAAATTTAAATCTGACGGAGCACCTCCTTGGCTTTGTCGCTGGGCTTCTCCTGACAGGTGCTGGAGAGCTATCTTGTGGCAGAGGTGTGCAGTAGTGCCAGACACGGGACTCTCAATGCTGCCACTCCTTGCCGTCAGCCGGGACGATCTTTACAGCCATGGCCGTCTGATCAGAGAGACATTTCTGCCGACCAAGTACACGAAAAATCGCCCGAGGCCTCCTCCTTCTCGGGGGCATTGCACCTAGGTCATTGGCTGGAAGTGCTCGTGCCAGGCTCTCTAGCCGGCCTGGCAACCCCCGAAAAAGCGGCTTTAAGTTGCACGCATCGTCTTGAGCGCTTGACCCAACCTCGACACAGAATCGGCAAGTCTTGAGTGTGTCTCATGTGCCCCGGAGTACAGCCTGCGTCTACAGCAAGGACACTGGCCAGCAGAGAAGGCTCTTCGCACTGGGTCAATGACAGGTAGGCCGGGCGGGTGCGATGAATGTGCTTCGGAAGCCTGCACGAAATCGGGGGCAGCGAAGCGATGGCGACGGATGGTGTGCAGATGGCGTGCAGGACGGAGCCTCCGGGGAGGCAGGGGGCGCAGAGTGCCAGGCCTCAGAAGTACAGACGTCCGTGCCGATGCAGTGACGTATCCGAGGCATGGCAAGGCAGGGCTAATAAGCTGAGAGCCAGACTCCCTCGGCTGGTTGTTCAACTGATCTGTGTGAGCCTTTCATGCTTGTGGCGCAGTTAAGCGAAGCTAACCGACGTCTTGGTCCTATCGAAGGCGGCAAAGGCACACGGTTCAATTCCAGCACAGCTGCACCACAAGACAAGCAGCCTAAACGGGCCTTACAGACCATCATAGCAGTAGCAGACATACCAAAACAACCCGCCTGATCGAAGCCAGATGACGAAACAGGCGGTAAGCCTCCACATGGCCACATAGATCTTGCGGCTACGGCGTTCAAGCAGCCACCGTATTCCCTCCAAAGGAACTGCGGACGTGCTGGCTGTGCGCTTGCCTCCATGATGTCTGTCCTCGTCCGGCTCCTGCTCACTCCAGGCCGCCTGTAAGCGCAGAATCTTCGAAGAACGAACAGGCCATGGTGACCATGCAAATTTTTCGGAAAAAAGGCCATCTGGATCATGCCTCGGATTCGTCGTTTGCATCTTCCAGGCGAAGTGAGTCAGGAAGATCATTGCAGATCTGAGCCCAGCAGTGGGGACACAGGCAGCTCCGAGAGAATGAAAATCCCAGCCTGCATGTGCGCTGGGCTAAAAGGCCTCGACTCCCGAGGTCCCATCTTGAACGAGCCGGGAGGCTGGTTCGCCTTCCACGGCGCAACACACAGTGCGCTGTGGATGAACCGCAGTACAACACTGCAGGAGTAACATGCTGCATTGTTGACTCTGCGTGCCAAGCGCGGGGATGGTCGATACATGAAATCTCGTTCGTTTCTATGCTCATGGCAAACAAGACCGTGGACCAAGGTTTGCGAGTTAACATCTGAGCCTTTGATATTGATATACCAAATGCGGTCCTTCCCATGACCCTTCCTTAGTTTTACTTCGTCATGGCCCTGCAGGGCTAAAGGCTGCTCACGTTTTCTGCAGGTTCGAGATCCTTAGTGCGAACTGCCGAATTCGACAACTTAGCTGCATCTTCGGCGTTCGGGTTGTATTCACGTCGCATCGAAGTCCCAACATGTGTGCATCGAATCTCACAGCATCCCAATCGACCTCTATTACGGAAAAAGCAGCATGATTTCAACACGTTCTCCCAAACTGAAGGCGGAACCGCGGAGCCGCCCCTGATGAGCGCAGAAAGCCCCGTAGCCTTCGCGTAGTCAATCCACAGTACTGCATCGACCTGAACGATTGATGAATCTTCGCGATGGACAGCTACCAGTAGCTTCTTACCCTCGCAGAGACATGCCCAGGCCGCAGGCATTGCCGAACATAGCCCAGCGCCGGATCCGGTCGATGAGCCCCTGAAAAAGTGTCTCTTGAAGGTTACTCTCGTGCGCATGCTCAACAAGCTCTATGCAAAAGCATGTCTTGGGGAGCGGATACACGGACAGACAGACAAGAAGAACCATCGGGGTTGAGCAAAGCACACTGGTCCGTGTCGAAAAGATACAGGCGGTTACCGGAACAAGTGTGCAAAGCACACGGTAACATGCTTTCTTTTGGAACTTCAGTCAAATCTTGCGCTGTGAGCAGGTCGGCTAAAAGAATCAAGCCGATCAGTAGGCTGGGCGCAGGGCCAAAAGACCGAGAGGCTGGATAACAGAAAGCGCCCGGGGCGGTGATAAGGTTGAACCCATACAAAGGCCACGGTGCTGCAGAAGCCGGCTATGTTGTCAGTCAAACAAACATCTGGCGCTGACAACGTCCATCCGCACACACTAAGTCACTAAGGGAGTCGGTAAAAAAGCCCAGTCAGGATGCTGGCGACACGGGAACAACAAAAGCAACTCGGACAGCAACCGATGTTCGCGGGAGTTTGTGAATCTTACTTTCGTCCGGAACCAAAGCTATGGATGCAAACTGGGGATGATGCGGCACTTGGCCCGCCATTTAGGGGGTGAATCTGATGCCCACGCACTGCGTAAACGGCCTATGCACCTGCTCGATGTCTCCGTCTTATTCTCAGGCCGGCCTCGTGTTCTCTTCGAGTGCGATACTGGTGAGTGAGGGTGTTCATGTACCTCAGCAGCACCCTTCGAGGCATGTAAAATGTGCGACTGGGATACAATGTCCTCATTGCCTTGACGCCTACCAGCCTGTCAGCTCAGGCTCACACCCGATGTACTCTTGGTACGGGAAACCGAAACATCTCCTCAGATTCCGGATGGCACCGTTCAAGTCCTGCCCAGGATCACTGCTATTTCACTCTTGCCGCTGATGTCAGTGGAACACAGCCCGAAAGCCAAAGCCATGAGAGGCAACCTCTGAATGGATACGACTCATCGCCTGCAATATTCGACAACCGTCGCCAGCCTCGAAAGCGCTGAAGGCATATCGAATGGTAAGATCAGGATCATGGGCCTCAGCGATGCTGAGTCCGCAGACAATTTCGGAACCAATGTGTGAGGCCAGCGGCCAAGTTCCCCATGTCCGAAGCTGCCAATCGCAACTTCCGGATTGGCATGCTCGCGTGACATAGCACTAGTGCATCTAGTCGCCTCAAACCGAAGACTCTGCATTGTTCAATCGTCCTGACGTGTACAACACCTGCTTTCAGGACATGCTGCAAAGGTCACAGGGAGCCTCAGGCAGAACCCTCAGAAGCAGCCATACAAGTTGGTATCCAAGTGTGGCGCACAGGTCTTGGAAGAGCAAGCCCGAGCAAAAAAAAGCAGAGTCAAGAACTGGCTGCACGTGAGAGTCAGGCCGGCCGGTGATAGATTCGCATAATCGGGCAGCACAATCGTTTTGCAACATGCGGAAGAGCCTTCCCCGTATTGCTCTTTCCTTTGACAGAAAACTCAGTATCTTTGACTCGGGAGCCATTTCCTCGTGAAGGATGCTTGTTCTTGGAAACTACTCGCACAGTTACTTGCAAGGATCCCTGTACCGCTCAATGTAAGGTCCTTTGTGCAAGGATGGTTCAAGCCCTTGTAAGCTTTCCTTGTCTGGCTCTTCTTGAAGTGCTCCTTGAGCCCGTTCTTATTTTTTTTAAAAAAGAACTCCTGGCAAGGTTGTTTCTGATAGTTCTGAGGCTCCCTCCGAGGCTGTTCAGAAGGCCCTTTTTCTCTCCTTGGAAGGCCTTTCTTGCAGGATTCTTCTGCGCATCTTCGCAGGTTTGCTTGATTGAGCTTTGTGTGGCATTCGAACTCTTGATTTCCGCTCATTTTGGGGATGTTCACTCCTTCTCCCCAAACCCACTCCCGACAGGAAGCCATGCCAAAGCTGGACAACCCCGTACTAGCCCGGATGTGCTCGCAACAGAGCCCACACAACATGGCCACTCGAAGGTCTGCTGACTGTGGGCAACGAGATATGATCCGTGCGGAGACGTCCCCAGCTGTTGCTAGACAGGATCTCGCACGATCACGACACACCATCAAGAAGTCTGAATCGGACCCGAGCTAAGGCAATGGCTTGTGCCTCTTGCATCGTGCTGAGGAATGGAGGTAAAACCTGAGCCGCACAAATGCTCCTATGTCTTCTGCAGGTCACAGAATCAGAATTGCCCCACTTGAGCACGCCGCCGGGCCACCATCCAGCCACCGCGTCCTAACCTATACAAAAGACCGAGGGAAGCAAATTGCTCCTCGGAAGCATGGGGCAACCTGGAGCATCCCCAGCATCCCGGAGCCTTTATGAGCTCTCTCGGCTGGATGTAGAAAAGCGAGGCTGGACCTCAAAAGCCCAAAGCTCAGTCGGAGGCACCAGGACTTTGCCTCTGTGTGAGCACCTGAACTCTGAGACCAGAGCCCCATTCCAACAATGCGATGTTACGCATGGTCGGCTACCTGAGCCCAACATGTCCGGCATCGCTAACTTTGGCCAGCTGAGTCCCCGGCGAAGGTTGCGACAGTGCCGTGCCCATTTATGGGACCACCCATGCTGCTTCTGACTCTTCGCTTTGATTTACTTTAGTGTCTGCTCGTCCGGAGGTGTGATGCCGACATGAGAAATAAATGGAGAGGCTGATCCATGTGAGCGCCCGCTTTCGCATGCGCGGCCTTGGCACAACTTAGGCATTGCTCATGGGAGGTCTATGGAGCCATCTTGCCCGTTTCATGCCGACATCGCAGCAACTGTTAGATGCTTGCTGAACTCTCGACCATGCTCCTCTGACTGCACTTCAAGTTATGCTGCAGCTGCAGACAGCTGGAGGATACTAGCTCCCGGTTCCAGCCCCTTGCTGTCTCTAGGGCCTTGCTGGCCTTCCAGGTGCCAGCAAGGGCGCCGCCGCGACCGGGGTCTCCACCTCGAAACTGCGCTCTCAATAACCGGAGACAGCCGGTCAACCTCCGCGCACCCTGATAAGCCCTGAATCTGAACGGGCACCAGCAAAGGCAGGGAGCCCGCTTTTGCTAGCAAGCCCCGCGGTGTCAGAATGCCCGCATGGCATGGGTGAAACTATTTCACGGCACCCGGTGCACAGGTCGCCCTGCTTTGATAAATCTGCAGGGATGTGTCCAAGCCGGAAATCGAGCTCCTCTTTCATCTGTACATCCAGCGCACCGCGCCTGGACAGCTCGATACATCTCACTGCGATCTATTTGTTTTGATTCTTGAGGTCCATGTGCCTGGAAAAACTTTTTCAGTGATTCCCTAATGGACACAAGTTGCAGTGCTGATGTGCCCGATGGCAGATGCAACAACTACGACGGCCCGGAAGAAGATGGCACCCAAGCTCGGCCATCAAACGCCATTCCGCACTCTATTCAGAGAAGCTGCTTTGTTGTCCGCAGCCTCGTCAAGCCTTGACTGAGATGTCTGGCGGAGAAAAGTGTGTGCGGCTTCTAAACCGTGATCTTGCACGCACCCGACCCCGCAGCCGAATCCTATCTTCAGGTGCAAGTGATGCATCTATGGCCAGCTGTGGTGCTTTCAGTTCATCCTACCCAGACGTTGTCAAAGCCGTGTTTCGTTGCTTGCACGATACGCGGATTCGGTCCCTGCGTCTACAGTAGAGAAACCAAGCATGACATCTGAACCTTGCCGCCGCGATCCACATGGGCATAGAAGCTTCGGGCTTTCTCTGCTTCTAGCATCCTTCTGTAGGTGCTGCTAACTAGCGGAACAATGCGAGAGAGGTTGGATCACGAAGACACGGAAGCACGTGCAGCTCGGCGTTTAAAACTTACTGCCGGTAGGTTGTTCAGAAGTCGTCACTCGGGCAGCCTGGCATCACTGGCTGCCGTCCAAGAGATGCAACCATGCCGAGGAATCCCTTTCCTTCGAACCGAAGAAGGTGGATCTAGAAGAGCAGTCCTTATGCACGACTGCCTCCTGCAACTGTTGAAACAAGTCTTACCACTTGCACACGCAAGGACACTCGAAAGACCTGAGGCCTCACATGGAAACGAGTCACGGAACACCTGAGTCTTTCAGTTCAAATGCCGGCTGAACAGCCCTGGGAATGTTGCTGCTTTCGTCGCATACCTACATACAAGCATGGAAAAAAACTGATCGCGGAGTCTTCACAAGCAGAGATTTTCTAAAGGAGACCATGCGAGACCCGCGTGCGTAAACGCCGCATGAGCTCAAGCTGCTTCAACCACTAGCTCTGTCGCTTTCAGTCGATCTAGCTCCTCCTGGCAGATCCACGGCGCCTTGCTACGTTGCTGACTGGTAGTCCTGCAGGCAAACGTTTCGGGTGAAAAGTGTACAGCTTTTGTCCACACACGTCCCCATACTCGCAGCCGATGGACGTTCTGACACGGCGCTCACCACGTCCAGTCATCTAGGTCCCGATTATGATCCAGTGGCCTCATCCTCCACGAGCTCGCAATCCATCCACCACCTAGTCTGAGTTGGGGCAAGAGATTGCTGACTGGTCTTGAATCTTGTTGGCACACGAGTTGTGTCATCATGGGCAGTAGCGAGAAGCTGTGGATGAACAAGGGGTCAATGGACCAATTGCCATCCAAGCTCAGGCTCGAGCACGCTGCCCATTAGATGCTCTCCGAAGATGTTGGCCGGAACTACTCCTTTCGCCTCGACTCAACCGCAGGAACGGGTTGTTGTTTCGCAGCTTATGGTCGGCACTATCAAACAAACCGGAAGCACAAACACCACAATTCGGTCCAAATCCAAACCCACGGCTCGATTCTAATAAGACTTCATGCTCTCCAGAGTCAGCATCACGTGGTTTTTCCGATTTCAACCGCTTACTCGACTTGCTGCACCAGCTGCGACCTATGTGTGCAGAGTCTGAGGATGGCACTGTGATGATCTTGAACTGCTCCCTCTGCATAACCTGCAAATGGAAAGCTCTCAGAGCTCTCGGCTTGCAGCCGGCAAAAATGTTCTAGCTTGAGCAAAGGCTGAAAACCTGAGCTTGGGACGCTGTATTTGCCGATGCTCAAGTACATTATCCTCGAGGAAAAATTGACACCTCAAAGCATGGCTTGTATGGATCGCCACGGCTGGACCGACCCACTTGCAAGCAGGAGTGCAGAACACGAGCATGAACCAACCGAGCTCCTCGCGATCTTCCTCCGCTATGATCTCTGTCACTTCCTGGCACGGTTTCATCGCCCCATGGATCCCATGGATACACCAATGCAAAAGTAGCACCCTGAACCCATGCCGGAGCCGACCCTGTGCCGCAGCGGCGTCAAGGGGCTGAAGAGCCGGTCACAGCAAGCCTTTCTTGCAGCTGATCGTGCTCTGGAACCAAAGGTTATCGTCGTACCACTGCTGATTATTCCAGACAGCCCACCAGCAGGTTCCCAGCTCTATCCGATCCAGCTACTCGGGATGGCTCTTTTCCTGTTACCGTGTGTGGACGAGCCATGCGAACCCTGGCCCTCCGAAGAACCGACACCTCATGCCCGAGCGCAGTCCCTTCGAGTATCAGCGCTTTCATGCACTGAGGCTGAGGGAGAAGCATTCGAGAAAAGTATGCGACCATTTGCGAAATGGACCTGCCATGACCAGAATGGCTGGAGAACCCTCCACACAACCTACACCTCGCCCAAGCGGAGCCCATCGTCATGAAACATGTCCTGCTGCCTTGCTAGACTCAACAGTCTTGCCATGAAATTGCGTCGCGCATCTTCAATGCTACACCCTCTGAATCAGGAGAAAGCATTGAAAGCACGTCGGGCATGCCAGCATGCAGTTTCGATCGTTCTGGAGTGCTTCTAGGTGGCCCTGGAAAGCAATGCAGAAGTCTCCGACAGTGGCTTCCAAGCTTCGGGACAGTGCCAGGAGATTGCGAGTGCGCACCGAGTGCGGCATCGCTTCTGAGCAGAACCATGAAGTCACACAGCTGAGGATATGTGCTGGTACATCAGTACATCTGAACAATGCTGACAGTACCTTCCAGTCTCTCACACACACACACACACATATCGACTCCTGCCGACTGGCCTGATACAGCGATCCCACGTCGAACTTGGACTGGTGAATCCTGTGCGAAGCAGAAGGGCTGCAGCAGTTTCTCGCCCCCCTCACCTGAAGGGTTTGGGTGCTGAGCCTCATGCATCATTTTGGCAACCTCTGACATCTCTAAGGCACCCACGTCTCTTCGTCATTTTGTCGGATCGTCGCAGGCGAAGTCCTGGGTGTAGACTGGAGTCTGGGCGTAGGGCGTATCATTGAACGAGGACATGCTTCTCCGAAGTCATGTTTCTTCGCCGAGCTGCACGAAAGCACTCGCCGATTTCCGTGGCCGGTCCAACCTCCACAGTTCGGGGATGAAAATTTCAGATTTCCCTGTCTGTGCAATCGCTGCGGACTGCACTCCGAACTCGCAAAGATGTTAAACTTGCTTTTGGCTCTTCATATTGTTGCCATTAGCCGCCCTTACGAGCCTCGAAGCACGCATCTGCATGGCTGTGACGGCACTCGTTTCCTGCCACACGACATTGGACAAGGGGTGCAGACGCAGATGTTCTTGGAGAAACTTGCTGACTGCCCTGTCCAACGCCACTCAGTATGACCGTGCGCTTGCTGCGACAAGGTGGGCATGCTATGCTCATAACTGCCAACTCGAGGATCGAACACGGAAGCATCTGCCCGAAGTGCACAGCCACAAAGCTTCGGCGGTCGAAACGATCAGGAAAGCTCTTGCTGGGAGTGTCCCGAGTCACTCTCCGGGCAGATCCAAAGTAAGCTCGGCGGCAGCACCCGCATGAGCAAGTCTAGGTGAAGCCCTGTGCGTCGAGCCACATTGCTTGGGTGAGCCCTGCTAATCATTCAACCCATAGACAGCTGCCATTGCGGGAGCATGCTGTGAAAAACTCCTGGAAGGCTGCAAGGGCCTGCATCAGGCGTGATTTTCCCGGGGTTCAGCTCCTGCGGAACGCTCCCCGCCTGCAACAGGCAGCAATCTCAAACGTGCAACCGAAGGCTCATGCGACGAATATCGCAACCGGTATGATCACGAATGTGCCTCGTCATCTGCACCACTGGGCTGCCTTTGCTTAACGGGCACAAGGAATTCAAGTGATGGCAGCATCGTGCGCCAGCGAGAGCCGCCAGATGAAAATTGCAAAGCGAACTTTGCCCAGAGAGCCCCACACACTGCACACACATGCAACCGCTTTCGATGGACTCAACTGTCAGCCGGGAGGCATAGGAGCGATTTGGTTTTCGCCTGGCTCGATTTCTGAGGCAAGCATTACCATGCAAAAATGTGCAAAATACCCGTCCGCCAAACCCCCATCGAAGCAGCGAGGCGAGTCGGTCCCACATTCTGCCTATGATAGAAGAGGGAAGCACTTAAAAACCGTGGCCAACACCCTACACCAATGCTCCCCACAAACACACACTTAGGCACACACACACACACTTTTCTCGCAAATCTTTGCACACTGCACACAAAGTCTCCCGACCTTCGCCTCCCCAACTTGCTGCGGGCCTGGAGGACGATTGAAGTACTGAAGGCCCAAATGCTCTTGTGGCTGCAGCAGTGGCTGCTGAAACCTGGGTGCGCTCGGGGGAGGGTTTCACCGTGCAGTGAAGGGGCTTCCATGGGCATCCTTTGCCGAACTGAGCTGCAGGCTGCTCCTGCGGAAGCGGCAGCCCTTGAAGGTGGAACTGGGCCGAGGGATGGTGAGTCCTTCGCGCTTGTAGCTGCATGCTGTATGCCACCGTGGCAGTGCATGGCTCACATCTCTGATCTGCACGCCGAGCTGCGCCGCCGGGTGCGACATGGCGTCGAGCAGCTGCTGCTGTCGCTGCTGCTCTTGCAGGAGCCGGGTTTGAACCTCGAAAACCAGAAAGGCCACAAGGTGCTGAAGACTTATATCAGTCAACACTTGACATTGACAACGAGAACATCCTTGGGTCGGAAAATGGTCTGTGAAGGAAAGGGCTGCCTCCTGCTGAAGTCGGATGAGCTCCTCGCCAGACACGAAATCTTCGTTTACACCAATCCACGTCGCCCTGCCGACTTCTCTTCCGTCCTCGGCACGATCTGTTGCCACGTCCTGGCGGATGTGAAAACACAGGATTCCGATTCTTGTTCGAACTCTCAGATTTCGGTCCTGCCGGTAGGGCGCCTGCGCCGCCACAAAGCGAGGGTCCGAGGGCTGTGCCAAGGGCTGTCCCAGTGGCCGGCTGTGCTGCCTTGGACCATTGGAGCTCTCACACCCGATCTCATTGTTTAGGCACCAGAGGTGTTAAGTAGCACGTCGACTCATGTAGCTTTCCGAAGAAACTCCTAACACAGACCGTGAAGGAGGCTAGAGAGCATGCAGCTGCGACCCGGTTGCAAATCGAGCAGTTGCTGTTGCATGGGCAGCCTCGGGCAGCAGAGGTAATAATTGATCGGCTCCTCGAACCCTTCACGTCGGGGTTACCTACATCGAAATGCCTTTCCAGAGTCAGAGATTAAGGGTTCAAGGCCTTCTTCAGACATTGGGGATTCGGCGCTGCATTTGCAGCAGTTTCCTGGCAGGGCCTCAGGCTTCCAGACGCTTCACCCTCCGTCGTTGAAAACCCTATCCAAGTCATGCTGGAGCCTGTGGTTGCAGGAGTTAAGGCAAAACTTCAAGCAAGAATGGAAACGAGTCCCAGGTGATAATATCCCCACGACACATCCGATGTTAAGACGGGTCCGGCTTCGATCAGTGCACGTCGCACACTTAGTGCAGGGCGGCTGCGGCGGCCGCAGTGCCGGCGCCGGCGTCGGCACGTTCATTGGCAGCGAGGGGTACGGCTGCGGCCTCATCGGAGGTGTGCGCAGGCACAGCCCCAGTGGCTCGTCATAATGAGACTCAGGATGCATGTGCAATCCAAGCCGCAACTCCGGCGCTGCGCCGGGGAAGAAGGGAGTCACGCCTGGGATGGAGAGGCTGGTTATTTGCTGAGACAAGCTCCCCTGTGCCAACTTCTGCTGGCCTTTGGTGCCTTGAGTCCAAGAGGCTTGCACAAGTCGTGCTCGAGGCTGAGGGCTCCTCGAAATGCTGCGGACTTCTCTGACCAGATTTCGACAGCGGTGTCCACCACCGTGCCTGTGCTGGCCACGACAGATCATTCCAAGCCTGGCCCAAGGAAACTGTCTAAAGGGAATCTGGTTAGAGATCTCACACTGCCCTGCCGGCCTGACTTGCTGCCCATCGGCCCGGAGCTTGCCCCTTCGCATGATGCGAGATGAGAAGCCCTCTGCTGTAACCCCCACCCCAAGCCAGCCTGTCGCGGAGGCGGTGCCAGCCCCCTCCAGTCAGCAGGGCTCGACAATCTAGATGCTTTGCTGGCAAGTGACGCACACAAAGGAAAATCACACCTGCTAGAATGACACAGTAGACCCAATACTCGACAACTCCTACAACTCGCCCCTCATCCTCAACACACAAGGACAAAAACCTAAAGGATCTCAAGAAGCAAACCCTGAGCCTCGCAGCCGCATCAGAGGCTGTGGCCTGCGTGGGACCTGGGCAGAGAAAGCGAAAGAGGACAGAACATCTCGAAGGCTTTAAGCTCCCACCATGAGGCCCAGGGCCCAGACTAGGTGCCGAGTCATTCAAGCCGGTCCCGGCCAAAAACAACTTCCTTGGCTCCCAGACATTCGGAAGACTGGTCTAGAGATGGCCTGGACCAGGCCCGGTCTGCATCCTGGGCTCTGTGTCGAAATAACTGACGGTTGAACCTCCCAGGCCGTGGTGGAGCGAACATCAAAGCCAACTTCTGTAATGCGACTCACCGTCACCGACTCGCCCTCTGCACGGAGTCCCTGCCTCCCCGGCCCCGAAGTCCGTGAGTGGGACCGCCAGGTCTAGGCGCTGCGGAGCGAGGGCTCCGCCGATGGGGGCCGGCTCCTGCGGCACCTGCAAGGGAGAGGGACGGCTCACACTCGGCTCGCCTGGGCATTTAGATGCTGTTGGATCTTGAGAGGGAAGCGTGATCGCAGTCCCAACCTCCCAGTGGTAACCATCACCCTCGAGCTTCAATGCCGAGTCCTGTTCGGGAGTCAGTTCACACTTTGCGGAGCAAGCGACTTTTCAAGAGGCAGGCATCGGCATTCCTGTTCGTTGGGCAAGATCTCGACCTCGCTCTTCAGCACGTACTTGGTAGAGTTCTTGCCTCCGACCTAAGCAATTTGACGACCACACCTTCTAGGGACCCAAGATTACCAGAAGCATATGAGTGAAGGCTCTCTCAACGCTATACCCTGGCCTTTTCGACCACAGGGATGTTGGCCAGGAGGCCTTTGACATCACGGTATCCATAGTCCTCGATACAAAAACTCACTCCACGGCCTCCCTCGATCTGGCCTGTCGGACGAGAGCATGCAGAGTCCTTGCACTGCAGCTTCTCGTGCGGGAAGAAGCAGTTCCACAAGTCCCGAAAGTTTTTTGCAGGGATCTCCCGGCTGCCACACCGCCTGAAAACTTCGATGACCTTAGTCTTGGCAGTTTCTAAGAGAGTTTTCTCTTTGTGTTGTCGAAAGGGGCCTTGTGCTGGAAGCTTTCTGGAACCGGCTTGGGCTGGTCGAAGACGGGTAGATGTGCCCGCCCCACGAGCAACTGACCACAACACCGCTCGAAGCTGTCTCGATCATTCAGCTTTAGCTCCTCAGGTCGAAACACGAAAACATCTGGATACCGCAAAGGAATCAAGAGCTCTGTGCAGCAAAGTTTAGCAAAGGCTCCATGCGGTTGCCAGCTCCAACCAGACAAAGGCCGGGGATATCCGTCAGAAAATTGTGAAGCTTCTCGTACCCAGCCTCTTTGTATTGAAGAGGCTCGCCATTGTTTCGAAGCTTGAAGAGGTTGTTGATCTGCGACATGAGTAGCTGCCGCTCTTGGATTAGGTCGTCTTTGAAGCACTGGACAAAGAGTGTCTTTACATCTTTCCTTGTCTCGAACTCCTCACCGTCTCCACCCACAGATCCGGATTTGTTAGACCAAGCGGGTGAACGCGGTGACTGTGGCGTCAGGGCACGCGGAACCACACCAGGTTGCAGGATACCTGTCAGGAAAGCGGCGAACGAATCAAGCACATTTATGCACATACACTCAGCAATGCCCCACATCGTGCCTGGAACAACTGGACCGGCTCGTGCAGGCGCTGGAATCGCATCGGGCACCCTGATTACTTCGACGGTCAAAGGTTTAAGCTGCTGTCGCGGCTGCGATGGCTGTGAAGACTCCGTCGTAGCCGGCTCTGCTTTCAGCTCTGGCACCTCCTCAGCCGCAGCCGCCTCTTTCACCGGCTCCTCTTGCAGCTCTTGCGGCTTCGCGTCCGAGCTGGTGTCCGGCTTGGAACTTTCGGAAGGATCGGCAAGCGAACTTTCCGCTGTGAGCCGGACTTCTGGAGTAGGCCTCGCTGGCTGCTCTGCTGGTCTTTGCTCCGCCGCCGAGGATGCCTTCTCTGCATCCTCCACCTAGCAGCTGGGGGCTCCGCTTCCGCTCACCATGTTCTAAACCCTATTCCCGCGGATTCCCGCGTATGCCGTAGCCCGAGGAGCGTGTAACAGTGTAACCCGAGCCCAAGCCGAGGCTCCTTGTCGAGGAGTTCCAGCTGCCTCTGCACCTCACGGAGCACAGCGATCGCATGACAACCGTAGAACCGTGGGAGGTGGCGTTCATCGCAGTTTTAGTGACACTGCATACGGCTTCTTCTCACACAGGGCAAAGCCTCAGCCAACTTGGCTTCTGCGGCGTCGGCCCTGGAATTCGCCTGGCAACTGCAGCATGACGAAACGTGCTTCGCAGCTCTGTTCTGCTCGATCGGCCTTCGCGGCCGATGCCTCCGAGTCTCGGATGCTCTGTAGGCACTGCTGCTGTGCCTGAGGACTTGAGACTCAGAGTGCCCCGAACGAAGACAAGAACTGGAAAGGGAACGCTGCCTGAATCACCATGTCTTGGAGCTGGGCGGTCTTTTGTTCAGACAGCCTGCAGGTGACCGAAGGTGGTGATCCGCGAAGCCCGGCACCAAACAACACAAGACTTCATAGAGGGTGCTGCACTTCCTGCACAGCACCACAAAGCACCTTTTATTGCAGATCCCTTTCGCCCACCTCACAGCTGCCTGCCGCTCCTGCTCCAAGCTCTCCTGACAAGACTTGTGATAGTACCGGGCCGAAAAATCCAAAACTCTCGCTTGCGAGCCGTCGCTCCTGCTTCCGCTTCTGCACCTCACAGGCATGCCACAGACAAAAGAGACCGTCTTCTTACTCTTTGCCAAGAGAGCCCTTGCGTGTCGCGCGCCTCTGCCGAGGCTTGAAGGCGCCAAAGGACCTCGGCGCGGAAAAGCAAAAGGAGGGCCTTCGGACCCGTCTATCGTCGCGCCGTCGAGCACCCTCCTCAGGAGCGCACGAAGCAGATTGGCAGATCCATGGCGGCACAAGGCCTCGGAAGGAGTCAGAATCAGCACGGTGCTGCTCCGACGACGTAAAAAATATGCCTGCGAGCCTCACCCCGACTCCCACTCCATCTTTTTTTGTTTGCAATACAATGATGGACCAACGAATTCGCACCTCCAACCCTTACTCGCCCTTTGTCTCTCGTCATGGGGTTAGGGTCTATCGACCACGAGTCTCTTTGGATGAATTTCTCTCTCGCTTGCTTCTGGAACCCGGAGTCGCAAAGGACAGCCATCTTGGAATCTTCTGCTGCCCGATATGTGCCCGCTGGGCGACACACTCTTTCTTCTTGCGCCTTTCTTGTCACCCCCCTGTGGTGCAACTCTGCTTGCTTATCTGCTATGCGTATATGGGGTTGGGTTTGCACTCTCCCCCTGCGCTCACCCCTACGCACAGGTCGAGTCTTCGAGAGCAATCCCGAAAAGTCGATGAAACCCCGTTTTCCCAAAGTCTCCCTCAATCCCGTCAACAGCACAAACACTTTCTGCCCCCTCCATCACAGGGCTCGGCCGTACTTGGAAAGCCACGGTAAGGAGACAACTCCCCCCAACACAAGCGACAGCTGTCTTTCTCTCTCTCGCTTAATCTCTTTCTCTCGTAGAGTCTGACGGTCATAGAGTCACGGAGAATACCCCATGTGTCAACATGCAACACTGAATAGTCACATCTCCGCATCCAAACGCCGACTATCGCTTCCACTGCTAAGGGCCGTGCCTCGCCAGGGACCGAACAGACGCCGGCCGTGCAAACAGAGTTTGAGAAAACAGAGTGGGAGGAAACAGAGAGGGCTGTCAATTTTGGTGTTTGCGAGGGTGGGGCTTCGTGGTGCGATAAGCCCTGGTCTGGCTAAAGCATGCTAAAACGGCTGACGGGGAGGCGCCCCTGGGCTGCTTGGGGCCTATCTTCTCGTTTCAAATTTCTGGAGCCGAAACGCTGTGTGACCAGGACGGTTGCAGTGCAATTGCATCTCGGCCCTGTGGCTCCGCTCGTCACAAAAGTCCGAAGGACGGAATGCGCCTGCAGGACAGGCCTTGACCTTTGCAAGAAAGCCGCAGTGTGCAGCATTTCTGAAAGGCCTTCTTTACAATGATGGGTTCGTGGCTCCGACAGCTGGCGGAGCTGTGCCTCCAGCTCCAGCACCTGCCTGCAGGCACGGCAGGCACTGCGCGCTGCGGCTGCAGGCCACGGCCAGGTCCCTGTACCTCTCGGCCAACTCTGCCCTCTGCTGCGCATCCAGGAGCTCCTGCCAAGTCACAGAAAGGCAAGGCAAGAGCAAAGGGAAGACAAGAGGCCCAAGGCTTACTCGGCACAACGAATCGCAAGCCAAGTGTGGAAGGGTATGCTTTCGGCCCTCCGGGATCGGCGTGGGCGACCGCCGAAAACAACGCTTGCTAGCTGGAGCAACCAGAGCTACACGACCAACCTGGCGGCCTCTTCGCCACGAGTACTTGCTGAGATGTGAGGCAGGCGAAAGCTCAACCGCTTCAATACTTCTCAGTTGTACTTCACACCTGGCACAGCCTCCAGAACTATCAGAGATCGCTCCTGGTAGCACTGCTCGTGAGAATCCTCATGGTGCTGCCTCAGCCAACAGCAACCGACAGTAGAAGGTGCAACCTGCAGACTGTTTGTTGGGCATCAGGTACGGAGTCCCTTCGCTCCAGCTTGCTATCGCGCTTGCAACCCCGGTACCCATCCATCGAAGCTGAGCATGTACCTTCTGCAGACGAGGTTCGGATCAAGCAGCTTGGTCGGCTGCACTTTCTCATGGATTTCTGGAGACATCACCTGCTTCTCGGACAGGCTTCGGTAGCAGATTCAATGGCCAGTTCGCGGCATGGTATTGCCAAGATCTTATGGCCTCTGCCTCATCGTCTTGCCTCCGGCGTGTGCATGTCGAGATGCTTCACTTCTCCGGACTGCCAGCAAACTCTCCAGGCCTTGCAGTGCTGCCGGCTCCGGTGTCGGTGTCAACCTTGTGAGAAACCCGTGAAAAGCAAACGAAACCTGCGCTGTCGGGCTACGAGGAGTCCCATGCGTTGCACCAGGGCCGTGGCCACACACTCTGCTTCTGGGAACCTCGCATCTTGCGACTGCGTTTTCGCTTCAGCGAGACACCCACGAGCCGCCAGCCTCTGCCACCGCGAAGCCCAGGCAACAAAGGCCTCGGACGACTGTCTACAGTCACGAAGAATATACCCGGCTTGAATCCTTTGCTTACGGATAGTGCTTTTGGTTTTTCGATTGGCAAAATGTTGGAGGATGTTGGAGGCTCTGAGTGCCCAGGCCACCTTGAGGATGAACCGAGCGGACGCGCCGGCATAGGCACGGATCAGCTTCCTGGACTGCGCGCATCAAATGGCTCCTCAACCGGTTCGTGAAGCTTTGCAGTGCTGAAATCTAGCGAGTCAGTCTGACGTGAGACGTCTGCTTCAAAGGCTTTACCCTTGCAGTTGCGACGTGGTAAGACGATGCCACACAAAAGGATTTTGGGGAACATGAGGCTCGCCTTTGTGGGTTTCCAGAGATATCCGGCCTGGCATGTGTTTGCCATTGAAGGAAGTCAGCTTGGAGAGGCTGGACCTCTGCTACACGGATTTGCCATCAGACAAGCGAAGAGCCCAAACACCGAAAACAGGATCCCCCACCAAGTTCTCCGAGAAGTGGATGCTGCCGGTGCGTCCGAAGTCCTCCGTGGAGAGCAGCAGACTGGTTGACACCCCGCGACTCTCGAATGCTCGCGGCCGGCCCTGACTAGAATGTCAGCCTCTGCTTGTTTTTTTTACCTTGGCCCCCTGGCCGTGGCTCTTGGGTGCTTGTAACAGGTCAACAGGCCTTGCAATAAGCCTACTGAGCTCTGTCTGCATGACAAGTACGAATGCGACTGTTGACCTCAACTTCTCATGCTTCTACCACAGCTTCTGTTTGCTATGCCGCTGTGCTGACAGCAAGCGATACTATTCCAGCTCCCGTGTTCGTCGGGGTTTCTGGCAGGCAGAAGATGCATGGCTAGGAACACGTCCGCCTCTGAATGCTTTGGCTCAAAGCGGAACCAGTGGCATCGATGTGCCCAAGAGAGTGTAAGAAAAAGCCTGCAGCTGCCAGAGGATCGAATGCGGCATCTGCCCCGTTACATAACAGACTTCTGTCAATAGGCCAACCAACCCCAGAGCTTGCGTGAAACATCGCGGGGCTCCACGAGGATCATCAGAGCCACTGCGGCTGAAACGAAAGCTACACTAAACTTGACATCACACCTCGCATGCGCTATCTCGGCAGCTCGCCAAGAAGCGGTTTCCGTGATTCCTCGGCGAAGGCAGATGACCAGCATGGCTTTCTTCTGGGTAAAAGGGAGGCTCGGTTTCAATGTTCGTGATCGCTGGTCAGCTGCCGGGGCTCTTCTGGAGTGGATCTAGAGAGATGGCTCGATCGGCGCTTGGTCCACCGAATTGTTTCGTATGCTCAAGGATCCCCCTTAGCATGCATCTTCCCGCTCCACAACCAATCCCAGATCCCTTTTGCACGAACCCACCCGGTCACACAAGTTCGCGTTTTAACTCAGACACCAACAGCATACTCTGTATTTCCGGGCTTTTCGTGCTCGGGCCCTAGCATCTTCCACTGCTGCTGGTCGGAGCCGCCTGTCGAGACGTGCTTTCAAGAAACCTGCAAGTCTGCAAGGAAATCTGCTGCCTCAGCTGGACAGCAGATCCGACGACGAAGAAGATCAACCTCAACAGTTTCGCCCAGCGACTTGTGGAGCCCAGCGAAGGCTGCGTCCCCGAAATCTCGGTTCAGAGCCAAAGCCCAACATCGGCCATGCGGTCTATGCTGTACCTCGGAGCTACAACACCGGCCTGGCCTCTCATGACAGACCCGGCTTCAGGTTCCGACACACGGCCCTCCACGACGGGATTGTACTTCGAGCCGGCAAACAAACCCAGAGCCGGAGCTTCGGGCCTCAGCGCCCATGCACCGCAAAGCACGGGCCCCAGCCCGCCTAGCCCTTCGAGGAGCCCGCGACCAGAGCATGTCAAAGAAGTCTACCTGGCGAAAGACGCAGGCCCGCGCAGCTCAGAGAGCTCAGAGCTCTTCCATCTTGGGGCCCTGGGGCCCTGACCCACGTTCCTCCTTGGGGCTGAAGGGCTGGCAATGCATTCGTCAAGAATGCCAAATACCTGCGCAAACAATTGCGAAGAACATCTCTGACCTCGTCGTCGGCTAAATCCTGAGGCCACCGCCCCTTCTTGGCGAGGTCAGTGACTGCAAACCTATGAGAACGTGGCATGCAAAGTCCGTGGCACAGACAAAGACAAGAACCGACCTGGCTTTTCTCACTCTCTCTCCCGAAATATTCTGTTATCCTTCAGCAGCGTGCCTCGTAAAGTGTAAAAGCACTGTCCGATTGCGAAGCACGCACGCAGTGGCTTAATTGTTTTTGCGAGTATTTGCGACTCTACCTCATCCAAGGGCCCCGACGCCAGGGCAGAGGTGCAGAAGGCACCGCCTATGGCTGCAGAAATCAAGGCCTGGGCACGCAGTTCCTGCACTCCACACTGCAGCAGGTGTTCATCACATTACGCCTACAACTTGAACTGAAGATTTGCGCAGCGGAGCCTTTGCTGACAAACTGGAAAACTAGGAAGGTAACTGCTAGCCTGGCCTCCAGTGGACACCGGTCTCTCGAGGTGAGTCCAAACTAGCCACTGTGCTGCCGATTTGCTGTCAGGCAATTTTGTGTTGAGCTTTTTTTCACGTCATGAAGGCCTTATACCACTGCAAGCCATCACTGCAGAACTCTGGATTTGGCGAAACAGACTTGCATCATATCGACAGATGCAACAAAAATCTTTTCAAACCGATACAACGATGCTGACAAAGTGGCTAGCAACTTGAGGTGCTTCTTCCGGAAAAACCTCAGCAACTGCACACTGCAAAGTGTGAATCCAGCATGCCTGAGCCTAGCTACAAGCAGCACAATCTCCTGTCAGCAGCATGTCTTGCTGCACGTTCGCGCACAACGACTTGATCAATCATTCGAGAACGAAGGCGCTGTTCGGTCATGTGTTCGGGTTTGCATCACAAAAACTTATGCCATCGGCAGCGCTCCTTTGAAACGACAGGTTCGTCCAACAGTTCCACTTGGTCACGTAGATGAGTGGTAGCTGCCCATTAGTTGACATGATACAGCACGCGGACACCGAGATTCAAGTCAAAACAATGTCGTGGAACTTCTGCACCTGCATGAAGTGTGGTGAAACAGAAAGAAAAACAAAGCGGTTTCCAGACAGTTTGAAGCGCGATGAAAGCCATGCATCGGCGTCGAAGTGATTGACTAGTGCCTGTAAAGACGGATCGCAGCGGACAGTTTCCATCCCGGCTCCGCCAAACATGGGATTTCTTTCTCCAGCAATCCAGGACCCACCAGAATTCAGGAACCCGATTCGCGGACCGTGTCCGGAAATTCAGCCCCTGCGAACAAACAAGTCGGGAACCGAATCGTCGCAATTCAGTCGCTGTGGGGTGCGTTCCTGCTGTGTGTGGATCTGAATTGCGCATTGCGGCCACGCCTTGGCTAAGCCAGATATGCCGGAACATAAATTCCAAAAAACAAGCGGTCGTTTCCGGAGTTATCCTAAACCCGGAACCTCCAAAAGCCGAAGCCTAAATAAACCCTACGCTAAATAAACCCTGGATAACCCGAAGTCCTTAACCCTGTGACACCCTAAACCTTAAACCCGTAGAAAACTTAAACCCTGAAGGCCACGTCGGTGAGATATGCTGAACGGCGCGGCGCATCGATTTAAGTGTAAGTCCTGCAAAAACGTCAGACCCTGAGGTCAAAAAGCTTGAATCTCAAGCCGGAAGACCATGAGCCTTAAAGAACGCCAAGCCAAACCGAGCTTCAAAAATCCTAAACCCTAAACTCTAAACCTTGTGAACAGCAGACCCTTTACACATTAAAATAATATAAGCCTAAACTGACACGGTTGATAAGGGGCCCCTGTGGAGGGGACCCCTGCGGGTTGCGCTTTTGCGAATGGGCGTGCTGTGGGCAAATGGGGCCCAGTGGGCCCCATCGGGCCGCAACACGGGTTTAGGGTTTAGGGTTTAGGGTTTAGGGTTTAGGGTTTAGGGTGCCCATTCGGCAAAGTGCAACCCACAGGGGTCCCCTCCACAGGGGGCCCCTTATCATCCATGTGATAAACCTTGAAAAACCCTCGACACTAAACCTTGTGAACCCTGAATCACTGACCACACCCAAGGTCCCAAACCCTGGAAAATCCTAAACCCGGAAAGCCGAAACCTAAACCCTAAACCGTAGAAAACGAAGAACCCTCAGTCCTTGACCCCAAACCGTAGAAAATGAAGAACCCTAAGTCCTTGACCCTGTGACACCCTAAACCCTAAACCCAAAAAAATCTTAAAAACTGACGAAACCCACGCGCTGAACCTGGTCAGGAACCCTTCAAGCCTCAACCGCAAACTACAAAATTCGAAAGATTAAGGCAAGCCCTAAACCCTAAAACCCTCGAAATGCGGAAACCCTAAAACTTGAAGAACCTGAACCCTGAACCCCACAGCGCGTGAACCATCAACCCAACAAACACCCTCCACCACAAGACCCAGTTCCTGAATGCTACTGTTTCGGTTACGGCATTGGCGGCTTCCTGAATTCCTGAACCTGAATTCTCGCTTGGGTTCCTGAATTTCCTGCAGAAGTTGCTGAACTGAGTTCCTGAATGGCTGTCTTGGTTCCTGAATGGGTCTGTGCTACTCACAGATCTAAGGTGACCAGAGCAGGCCGTCGTCACACAAGTCAAGCGTGGACAACAGCCCTCGCAGCAGCACTGCCAGAATGCAAGTGGAAGCTTGACATGACATGCCACGATATACGGACCAGCTTACAAGATCTTCACCGCGCGGAACTCGATGAACAGCCCTAATGTCGCACGCGCATCTTTTTTCGTGCGACCGCCACGTGGGAGTCGGCCACGGATAAAAACTCGAACATCTCCGATCTTCACGCTTCCGAACTGACACTCCGATCACCGGAGGGGCGCACCAGGAGACGGTACTTTCTGGTTGGACTGAGATTTCTATGGGCCGACTGGGTGGCGGCCCAGCCGATGCTCTCGTCTCTGGACATGTCGCGTCACACATGTCGTGACAGGTGTAGACCAGCGTGGGACCTCGAACCCTTCAACAAACGGCTAGATGGACGGCATTCCGCTGTGAAGGCACGTCTGTCAGCAATCTAGGAATCTGACGAAATTGCGGGAAGAACTCAAGAATCAAGCTGTTCCGAAAGCTGCTGAAGCTTTGAGGTGTCGTGTGCCTAAGACATCCACAGCAGCACCCCTGCGGCGACGAAGACTGTGTAGAAGCCCAGCATCATCCACCTCCAAGGTTGAGTGAAGGGGATCGAAGGGGAGTAGGTCAAGGTGTTCGGTCACATCCGGTAAGTTTTCCAGCCGTAGTCTGTCTGCTCCAATTCTTGCACCCGCCTGTGGTCTGTAATGAAATGCACACCGAACCTAGGCTGATCCGCACACGCTCCAATTTCTGCAAAGCTTAGCAGTCGATCTGGGCAGTGCTACCGAGAAGTATGGGTCAGGCAGCTTGCTGAGGACACATTGGACCCTGGAGACTGCAAGCTGAAATGCCCTCTCGCCCTGGGTGTCCGACGTGTTCAGAAGCTGCAGCAATCTCAGTGCTGCCAATACACCCAGAAAGGCTCCTGCTCAAAACGCACAAGGATTCAGTTCCGTCCATGGAGAGTTCAAGTCGCCGACAAAACCTGCAAGAGTCACAGGTGCAACCGCGACAAAGGATGGCACTTGTCCGGCCTACAGTGACTTCCATGCCATCCATGCCCCGATAGGCCGCAAAGGCACCGACAAAGCCCGCCTCATGCGGCGAAGTGCATGCGGAAAAGCGGTGCACGAGCTAGCCGAGCCTCCACACCAACGACGGATCGGGCAACATGACCCCAGTCCTGGGCACGCAAAGCAGCCTTTTAAAGAAAAGACACTCTGACACCGCACCAAGATGTACCAAGGCTGGTTCATTCACCTCGTTCATCGCCGTAATGCCGACCACCACGAACACACAACCTCCACAACATGTCAGATTGTTTCCAGGTCTAAAGTGCTGCATCGAAACACGAAATCTCAAGCGTCGTTTCGTTTACCCCAAGCGAAACCTTTTTCCGAACTGCGCGATGTGAGTTCAGAGACCCCAGCCCAAACAGGCTTTCAATACCGCGCGGAAGCTGAGCACTCGACAAGCGATTATCCCCTTGAAGGAGAAATCGCCATTGAAGACGAGGACAGTGCCGAAGCAGAATGCCTGATTGAGGGTCTTCAGCATCGAGCCTCTTTATCACGACTCGCGTCTGTCTTCGCCCGTCCTAGGCCTACCTAGGCCTACTCGAACGACAGTCGGATACCTCATCATACATGCCGCTGCAAGACCCCTTAAGAAGACGACTCCACTGCCCCCAAGCCGACGATGACGAGAAGATCAGAAGATCCCGTGGTCCGTGAAAGCAGCTGCTGTCTTCTCTAGACCCTCCGAGAAAACTTCGATGCCACTGGGATTCAGGCCATGAGTGCTGCAACACCCTGGTACCTGGAAAGGAATGACTCCGGATGACCATTTCACCGTACCGGCTGTCTACACGTGTCTAAACCACGGCACTTCAGCACAGACTAGAAGGCAGAAGGCTCATCAGCTGAAGGTCACTTGGAGTCCTTCAGCTCCTCCTTGATCTCCTGTACAATAAGATACAATAAGCAACGAGATCGCACACACTTTGATACTTGCCATACTTGCCCCCATGACAGGTTCGGCTGGTGGCTGCCAGTCCTACAATTTACACCCCCTGGGGTGGTTTGCTATAATCCTCCGTAGCGTCCTTAAAGAGTTCAGTCTTTGCCCTTGCCGCCCCGCCTTGCCTCTGCCACACTTCGCAGGATCGCCGCCGGAGGCTTGGTGCTAGGTGGCCTCGTCGTCACCTCAGTGGCACGGAGTGGTGACCCGAGTGGTTCCGAGCTCTAGGCTTCGGATGTTCTCAAAGCCTCTGAGGGTTTTTCGTGTGCTGCAAGCCAGAGGCCCACACGGGCAGTGTATGCGATGCATTGCCTTCATGCGGCTTTGGGTCATCGTGGAGGTCGATCGCCTGGCGATCCACTGGTTCTGAGACTCTCCAGTAGCGACAGCCTTCAGCCCTTCAGCCTAAAACTTGCTCGCAGCCCGCGCGCTTTTCGTCAGCAAAGCTGCCCCCTCTTCGTATGTTGCAAATTTGGAGATGCCCGAGCACTGTCTGCAAGAGGTGTTTGCTGTAGGGTGCAGTTGCGCCTTGCCTTTTGAAGGTCTAGCCTTCCAGCAGCTCGACTCACTGAGTCACCGAGGCCCCTTTGCTGTTACCGAGATGAAGTGGATGCCCCTGATGCGCTGGGAGTCTGGAAAGCGCGGCGCGATCTGCAAGCCTCAGGCCCTGCGTGCTGCAGAAGTCGCATGCTGAGGAAGCGTCCGAGATATCCTCTTATCTCGTCACGGCCTCTTCACTGGCACGCCAGAGTGCCTCGGCTAGGCCTGCATCCAAGGCCGCTTTGGATGGCTCCTGCGCCTCTCCACAATGCCAGTAGAGCGGCAGCTCTCTCAGACCTGAGCCATCCTCCCCCTTTGCAGACTGCATCGACTGCGCCTGTGCAGCTCGCGCGGCCGCGATTGCCGCCAGGATGTGACCAGCTCCCTCCTGTGGAGTCTGGAACAGCCTCTCCGCACACCAGCACAATGCCTTCCCCAGAGGCTCCGGCACAGATGCAAAAATTCCGGTGTTGACGAGCCCAGGGGAGACTGCAACGCTTATCGGTCCATCAGGATATCTTCTGCGCACCTCTGCGGCAAAGAGGACATTGCAGAGCTTCGACCGAGCATAGCGCGCATACCACCCCAGCCCAAGGGCATGCAACAAACGAGCGTAGGGAGGGGAGCCCTGAATCTCCTCGCTCCTCAGAAGAACGCCAGGGTCACGGGTTGTGATTGTCAGAGACCCCTGTCGATGCGCCCGACTCGCAACTACCACGAGGATAGATGATGAGTCCATGCTGGGGAGCAGCAGTTTAGCCAGCAGGAAATGACCGTAATGGTTGGTGCGCATCTGCATGTCCACAAGCTCGTCGCTGGCATTCTCCGAATCTTCGACATCCCCCATCACACCCGCATTGTTGACCAACACGAACTGCTGCGCACCCGAGCTTGCAGAATCCTTTGCGAAGGCTTCGATCGACCTCTGCATCAGCTTAGTTTGAACCAAATGGAACCTGTCACAACTTAACATCACAGAAATTCCATACGACTACATTGCCAGACCGAGGTGCTTATAGTCTGTCAAGTCCAGGGTTTTGCACTCCAAGCGCCGCTGAAGTTCCTGGCACTGCCGCCTCCTTGCAACAAGCTGACGCGAGGGTTTACGACGCAAGGACGACCTCCATTCTTTGGGCTGTGCAGCAATTTGCCAGAGTCGGCTTGAGCTTGGTCTTAGCTTCTTGGATGAGGATTTGCAATGCTCTACTCTTCTGCCGTTCCGAAGCCCGGCAAAACCAAAAACAACTCTGGACTCTGGACCACTGTCACGCGCTGCTGCTTCTGCAGGCTCTTCGTCTCTGTCCTGCCTGGCTGCACGGAAGCTGGCCGCCGACCTCTCCGTCACGGAAGCGCCTGCGAGCAGACAACGGACGATTCGTTTTTCCAAGCCTAGTCAAATCGTTCCGCAGATTTCCCCTTGCCCCACACACCCGCACGCTGGCTTGACCTCAATCCGGCTGATTCAAGACACCGAGGCATAAGACAAATGCTACATGGCCGAAAGCAAGAAGAACAGCTAACATGCAACGCGTCCTGGAGCATCCAGGGAGCTGACGCATCGTGAGAACATCTTGGCGCGCGCCTGCCGGTCGCGCCACGCTGCTTGAGCACGGAGTTACAGCCCACTCAGACGAAGGAGATCTCCTCTTTGCTCTCTCTCTCTCTCTCTCTGCGCCTGCTCGCAGCGCTCGAGGTTGCGGCAGGCCATGAGCACCCGGCTGGCTCCAGCCTGGTTCGAAGGCACGGCGAAGGCGCACGGAAAGTGCAGGGCCGCAGGCGGCCGCAGGGCATCGCCTCGGCCAGTCCCCACGCGACCTCGGCGCCCATCCCTCCGGAGGCGCCCGTGACGATGCAAACATGGCCGGGCAAAGAGAGCTCCTGCACTTCGCAGTCAAGAGATAAAGAGATAACTGCCTGCGCAGAATTTCCTGCCCGCTCCTGTGGCGATGAGCGATGTGGCAACTCCGCCCGCCGTCGGACGCCCATGACGCCCAAGAAACCCACCTGGGGGCATGTCAACAGGGCTGTCGGAGGCCTCGTGACACTTAGGCTTCCTACTGCGACTTTCTCCGGCCGTCGCCAGACCAATGGCGTCCCAGGAGCGGCCCTTGGCCGAGGAGGCCATCGCCGCAAAGAAACGAAACGAAAGCAAAGCACGATTCGTCTCCTCGAGAGTTTTTAACTTCGATTGCAGTATTCAGCTGAGCTCGGACCGAAATCGCGGCGGCACGAGCGTGCTGAGAAGCAAGGAAAAAATCATGGCTACCAGTTCTTCCACTCAGAAGCGTTCCGTCAAGTCTGCGCCGGTGAACGGTCAGGTCTGCAGTTTATCACATCCTGAGCACCGTGAGTCGCACCTCCGACGCCCTTGCAGGCACCAACAGCGCTGCAAGAAGCAGAAGACAGATGTGACGCTCGCATCGCTGCCTGGCAGGTCTGGCAGGCCGGAAGGTGGCACAGTTGTATTTCTCCGAATACCCTAATTTGCCGAAAGGTAGCCACCCCGTCCCCCACATTCCCAGAGCCCATGACCTGGCTGCAGGCATCGTTCCAAGCGTTGCCTTGCAACAAGCGTTGAATCTCCTCCGAACCTCCGAAGTCTCAGCTGAGATCCAGGCGCTTCCAGGCAGCGCAGGACCCGGGGCCGGGATCAGGTTGGGACTCGGCCCGCACAGCCCTGAAACCAAACCCCGAGCCAAGAAAGGCACTGCGATCGCACCAAGGTTTCGCCTTTTACTTGCTAATCTGATACCATGCCTGCTGCTCATGATTTCTTTGGCCTCTTCACTTGACGCCACGTAGGACGGGACCTTCTCTCCCACACAGCAGTGCAACGACATTCTTGCCGTGTCCTGCAGCTGGGGCAGCATGGACACAGCGCTGGCCGCCGTCAACCTGAAAAATGCGACTGGGCAGCTACCGTGGGAAATGGTGGAAATCAGAGCATCCCAGATTTAGAGGAAGTTAGCTGCTGAGACCCCTCCGAGCCACTCATTGGAACTGCCGTGCCAAGACAGCCCGGGAATCATAGCCTGGCAGTCAGAGTGAGAGAACTGGGACGCACCTCACGGACATCACCTCCGTGTAACAATTTCTAACCAGCGAAACTCCGCAAGCTGCGAGCCCTGCGCACGCCTTCTCCAGATCGGATCTACAAGAGCTCCGGCCGGGGGTGCGCAAGAGGGATCCGCCGGAGAGCCTGGTACAGAGAAATTGCTTCCTGTGCCCGACCTCCCGAGTGGAAGCATTTGCAGCCACAATCGGAACATAGAGAAAACGGGACAGCAAGAGATAACGCCAGGAAGCAAAGCTGACGAAAAAAGAGTTCATCGAATTGAGCCCAGCGAAGCAAAGGCTGAGAACTGGACAAGATCTGGTCCACCGTCGGCTCCATGCTTGTGATGGACCCACTTTTTTGAGTTCCCAAAATCTCCGTTACTCCTCCGTCCTCACGAAAGCCTTGCTGAACATAGCACAAAACACTATACATCTCCCCCGATGCTGCCCATGTATGCACACAAGAGCCAAAATGCTGAGCAGATCTTTGACAGCATATCATCTTCTGGGCCTCTGAAATCCGATAGTCGCGCTGGTCTCGACGGTAGGGAGCTGAGCCCTTGAAATTGTCACATGTCTACTGCGTCTCTTCCTTGTCAAGTCAGAGAACCCTGACTCCATCTACAGCTGTTGTCGGATTGCGCAGCAAGAACACGATACTGCCTTAAACAGTGAGCTGCATCCTGGCAATAAGCCCGTGTAGAGCACTGGCTGCAGCCGCAAATATCAAAAGAAATCGGGTGAGCCGCTAGCAAATGCAAGGACCGCAGCGACACACCATCCAAACCAAGCCGGGAAAGGTGCAGCTTTCAAACCCTAATGGCGACCACAGACTCTGCGCATTTTGCGCTGAAAGGGCCAAGCCCAAGCAGCTTTGGCCGAGACGGGCCGAGGCTGGCCCCTGGACATTATCGAAGGGGAAACCCGATCACTTGAAGGCCGGGATTCCAGTTATCGCACGGCCTGGGGCCATCGTCCGGCGTTCTGTGCCCTGAAGCAACTTTTCGAACTAGCAAGCCCTGAACCCAACAAAAGAATGGGAGCAGACCGCGAAAACCTGAAAGGATCGATCGACAAACGCTTGAAATACAAATCGTGCAAACCCTGCATCCACTAGTTAACTAATGTTCCATGGCGGCAGCAAACCTACACTCTGAGACTCTAAAACGATGATTGTGCAGCAAGCTGGAAACCAACAGCTACTCATACTCTGAGAAACACACTTCGTCACAGGCCCAAAATGAAACTAAACACAACGACGGGATGAACCTCAAACTCTAAAATAAGCGACCCCTCAGCCCTTAAACGATCACTCCCGACTACTAACATATCCCTCGAATGCATATGTAACCGTTCACATCAAAAAGCAAAAAGCAAACCATGCTCCACGGAGCGACGATGCCTGTGTCGATCCCAAACCCCAGGCTTGAATCCGCAGGAATATCAGATGCCAAAAACGAATTACCGATTGCCGCAAAGAAAACGCCTGCTCAGACACTACCCCACAAACGACTCATGGAACCAGCGACCCTGATACCCTGAAGCGAATCGTGCACAGCAAACCTTACGCCTTACGCCCTAAAGCAGCGGGATGGATAGCGAGCCATTCTTCTTCAAGAAACACAACTCCGTCACGCACTGCCACACGAAACTAAACAAAACTGCAGATAAACCGCCAACCCTGAAACAAACGACGAGCAGCAAACCTTCAATCAAAACCCAAGGTCATGCATGGAGAGCCCAGCCTAGCACCAAAGAATGGATGTCAGCTGTGCCCTCATAGGTGTTGACAGCCTGCTGTGGACACCGTCCGAGCGCAGTTTCTAACCCCGCCGGCAAGCCTCGAGGTTGCAGACATGGCGGATGACGTGATACTCGTCCACAATTCCGTTACCTGCTAAGCCAGAACTATGCGTCCTCTCATGCTTTATCGTCTCTGAACCCTCAAGAAATCCTGTGTATTAAAGGTTCTACAAACCACTAACACCCGGAAAGAGGGCTTCAGCGTCTGGGGGTGTGTGAAACTTCAAAACGAAGACCCTGTCCTGGCCTCCTGCTCCTCCTCCTCCCCCTCCCCTTTCTCGGACTCTTGCCATACTCCGACCCCCTACCATTACTTCCACTCCAATTCCTGCTCCTGCTCCTACTCGTACTCCTACTTCACAACTACTACAACTACTACACCACAACCACCACCACCACCACTACTACTCCTACTCCAATACTACTACTACTACTACTACTACTACGACGACGACGACGACGACGACGACTAGTAATTACTATTCCTATTCCTATTAGCATTGCCATTGCTATTGCTATTACTATTACTTTTACTATTGCTATTACTATTACTATTACTATTACTATTACTATTACTATTACTATTATTACTATTGCTATTACTATTACTATTACTATTACTATTACTATTACTATTACTATTACTATTGCTATTACTATTACCATTGCTATTGCTATTGCTATTGCTATTGCTATTGCTATTGCTATTGCTATTGCTATTGCTATTACTATTACTATTACTATTACTATTACTATGACTATTACTATTACTATTACTATTACTATTACGATTACTATTACTATCACTATTACTACTACTATTACTATCACTATTACTACTACTATTACTGTTACTATTACTGCTACTGTTACTGTTACTGTTACTGTTACTATTACTATTACCATTACTATTACTATTGCTATTACTATTACTATTACTATTACTATTGCTATTGCTGGTACTATTACTATTATTATTACTACTATTACTATTGCTATTACTATTACTATTGCTACTACTATTACCATTACTATTACTTTATGATTACTAGCATTATTTTTCTTGTTATTATCATTATTACTATTGTTATTAATTATGACTTAAATTATTTTTGTTATTATTACTATTTTTTGGTCATTATTTGTCATCTTACTAATATGATTATCACTATTATTAAGATTAGTTCTATTATTATTACTATTACTACTATTATTACTATTGCTAGTACGAGTACCATTACCATTACGTATCACTGTCATTATCACTATTACTATCACTATTACTACCGTTATTACTATTACTTTTACTATCTCTACTACAACTACTA